GCTTAAGTATTTATTGGCTGCCCATCAGCTGAGGAGTGGATCAGTGACAATGTGGTGTTTCCGTACAGCGGAATGCCACTGGGCCATACACAGGGATGGAGTACAGACACACGCCACAGCTTGGGTGAGCCCTGAAAACTTTATGCTAGGTGAAAGCAGCCAGTCGTGACATATATGGTTAGAGTCCACTTATATGAAATTTCCAGAAGAGGCAAATCCATAGAGAGAGAAAGTAGATTTGTGGTTGCTGGAGGTTGGGGTTGGTGGAGAAGGGATAGATAAAGAGTAAGGTATTTCTTTTTGGGGGGTGACAAAAATCTAAAGTTGACTGTGATGACTATACTAACCCCCGCTGAACTGTACACTGTAAGTAGGAGGATTTATGGCATGTGAGAGACACCGCAATAAAGCTGTTAGGAGAAAACTGTCGTTGAACTTCAAAAATCTGGATAGTCACCACAGGTGGATCCTCTATCATCACGCAAACATTGAACACACGCACGTTAATGCTGAAGAATGCTCCAACGGGTGCCCGTCAGGCAGCCAGCAAACCCTGACGCCTCGATGAGACTGGCTGTCCTGGGGCAGAGTGCTGGGGTGTAGGAAGAGATGAGCGGAAGGCTTACTTTCAAGATAGAAATTCTCTGTAAAATTGCTTGGATTTTCTTTATTTGACTCATTAACGAAGTGTCTGTGTTCTCTGTCCCTGGGGTGTCCTTTTTTTTCCCGTCATGGTTTTCCTACTTGCCAGTTTTCTTCTGCATTAAAAAGTTTATGTGTGGTAAGACACACAGAATGTACTGCTTACCCTTTTGAGCGTACAGTTCAGGGGCATGAAGTACATCCACATGGTGGTGCAGCCATCACCACCGCCGTCTCCAGAAGGCTTTTCATCCTGCAAAACTGAAACAACCTACAGACCCGTTAAACAATTCCCATTTCTCTCCCCCAGCCCCCGGCAGTCCTTCTGCTTTGTCTCTAGGATTTGCACTAGGAACCTCAAATAAGGGGAACCTCACAGGATTTGTCCTGTGGCGACTGGCTTATTTCAGTCAGCTTAATGCCTGCAAAAAGAAATTTAAAAAACTGTATCTCCATTACTATTTTATTACTTTTCTGGTTAAAAAGACAAATTACTTGTCAAAAATCACAATATATACTTGTACTATTAAGTTAAGGAAAAAGAGCATGAACCAAAGCTTTGTCATTGCAACTTTGAAAAAAAAAATATCACGCACATTGAAACGCAGCAGAAAACATGAGAAGTTCCTAGTAATGACGGTGATAATTTCTAGGTGGGTTATGGTTACATTTTGTCTTCTATTTTTTCTCATTGTTCTAGAAGGGCATGGTCTGTTTATAATCAGGACAAAGCCAATGCCATCTAAGAAATGGGCGTGTCACCCTCAGAAAACAGTGCTTTATCTGAGCTTTCTTGGGGTTCCCTGAGTGTACTCTCCATGAAATGCACTTACTGTGGTCGATTCCTGTTTCCCAACTGGAGTTAGGAAAATAACGCTTACCTTGGCCCACAAATGCTTTCAATGGGTGAGTGTGAGATCAAAGAGCAAGAGAGAGAGAAAAGATGGCTCTCCGCCTGAGCTATCTGTCTGGCTCCCCCAGGCGTCCCCCTGGGTGATCCTGCCCAGTGTTCCACTTTCCTGGTACTGACTGGCTCAGGAGAGCCAGTGGTGCCTGTAACTCAGTAACCTCGAGTGACAGCTTGAAATTGGTGATTGTAAGAGTATTTCCACCATGAGAAACGGTGAGCACTACATACCACCCACCCCGCCAGCAGGAGCCATGGTGACGGTCAGACCTTCCTCAGCACACCTCTGGCTGCTCTGTCTGCCGGGGCGGGCGAGCTGCCCGCCTCTCTCCAGCCCACGGCTGCCCATTTCTGAGGGAACTGGGTGATCCTTCTCCTGGTCCCTCTGCGAGTGGCATTTTGTCTTCCGGGGTGGATCTGTCTTCTAAGACCTGTGGTTCTCCGCCAGTCAGAGACACCAAGCTTCACCCTCCTGGTCTGCAGTCCAGAAAGGAGCTGAAAATAGTAGACATTTGACAACTGTCCACTTTCCATTTTTTCCATCTCATCCTGTTCGCTTCTTCTGGGAACTACGCCTGACCTCAGGAACTTTCTTGCTATAGGATCTGTTCCCGATTCTTTCCTTCTGGGCAGGCGGCCCAGGGGAGGTGGGGAAGGTGTGTGTCAGAGGGATTGGCAGGCTTTTTTCTGCAGAGGGTCAGCCAGGCTGCTCCTGTTCGTTGGGGTGCCGGCCTGGGGGTTCCAGGCCCACCCAGGGGGGCACACATAGGGTTTTGTCATTTGCCTCTTAGTGCTTCTGGCAGTGAGGAGTCCAGAGCTGGACCTGAGGGGCCAGGCTCTACCCTCCGCTATTCCTGGTGGGCAGCCCTCTCTGATGCCCACAGGAGCATAGTTCCAGGAGAAGCAGGCTGTTGCTAAGAAACCTTCCAGCATCACCTCCAGGGAGGAGACGTGACCAGAGGAGTGGGGGCAGACATGAGGGGTTGCTTGATGGCTTCAGAGAGCCAGGGCGGCTGCTGGAGCACGGGCTGTGAAGTCAGGCCAAAGCCCCTCCAAGACTGAACAAGACAGCACTGCCTCAGACCCCGCTGGGTTCAGGTCTGAGCTCTCCCGCTAACTTGCTGTGCAACCTGGCCTCTCTGAGCCACCTGCAGGTTGGGACTGGCAATGCCTACCCTCAGGGTGGTGCTGAGGGTTCAGTGGTATGTGAAGTACTTACCAGGGTGTTTCCGGACAGCTCCTGTCTCGGAGGCAGAGAGATGGATGTGTCCTGGGCCAGCTCTGACCCAGACCTCCTGGTCTCCAGGCTTCCTCCAAGCCGTGCTCAGAGGAACGCCCGTGCCTGCCGCCCTGATGACCCCAGGGCGTCCAGACACCGCAGCCTTTGTGTACGAGGCAATTTTGGACTTGGGGTTGAACAGACATGGGTTCCAGTCCTGGCTTTACCACCAGCTGGCTTTGTGATCTAGAACTTCACCTTCTCCAGAACTGTGGGTCTCTCCCTTATAAAACGAGGTTGACGGGGCCGGTGTGGCTGGGCGTCCAGTGCCGACCTATGAACCAGGAGGTCACTGTTCCATTCACAGTCTAGCACGTGCCCCGGTTGCGAATTACGCCCTTCCGTCCCCTCCAACCCCCATCCCCTCAGGGAGGCAGCCATAGATGATTCTCATCATTGATGTTTCTCTCTCTCTCCCTCTCTGAAATCAACAAAATATGTTTAAAAAAATAATAAACAAACAAGCAAATAAAATGAGGTTCAATAATTCCTTAGGTCCGAGAGTTGTCGGGAGGCCGTGAGATGGAGTTGCTACAGTGGCTTAAAGGAAAAGGCCCCGCCATTTGGAGGGGAGCTGCTACCAGCGCTGTAGGGGGTGGAGGAGGTGGGTCTTCCTGGAGCTTGTTTGATTATTATTTTTAAAACATATTTTATTGGCCCCCAGACCATGCCTTTGAGACGGTGAGCACATCAGGAGGGCCTGCTGCATGCAGCTCCCCCAGCAAGCGCACCAGAGTCGGAGAACGCCCCACCCTGGGCAGACACCTTGCCAGGTAGCGGATTTTACTGGTATCTTGTCAACCTCAGTGCGGAGGGAGGCGTCGGGAAAGCTTAAGGAACTGCCATATCAAAGCCAATGAGCCTCCATGGGTTTACCTAACAAAAATACAGGTTGGGGGACACCAGGCACTGGGGATACAGGGCGGTGTGTCCGGGATGGGCTCTGCTTCCTTTCACCGGATAGACGATGAAACCAGCGCCGCAGGGGCTGGGACACGGGGGGCGGCCAGGAGCCGGCTGAGAGTTAAAACCAGCAGCCGAAGAGGAAGAGCAAAAAGCCTGCAACTTTATGGCTCCGTCCATCGGGCGAAACACACCCTTTTACTGGTTTCCAGAAGATTTCATCATGGATGAGGTATTTCAGGAAGGGGCCTGGAGCCACAGAACGAGCGATCTTTATTTTTTTTTTTTTATAGCAGTTTTGGTTGTTTTTTTCCTCAACATGTCATGGTGAGGTAGGTAGGTGAAGGGGAAATTTTCCAAAACAGCACAGTTGAGCGCAAACACCCCTGTCCGCGTCGCCGCCTCCGTGGGTTCACGGCCTTCTTTAAAGAGGAAGATTCTGGCGGGGCCGCTCCGGGGTCCCCGCTTCCTGAGGATCTCACCCCGGGTCCCCAGGGGCCGGGCGGATGGGGCGGATGCGGGCGGGGAGAGGAAGGCAGTTTTCCGGGAAACTGCCGGGATGGGGGGTGGGGAAACAGAAGGAAAAGCAAACACACACACAGCTCGGGAGGGAGGGGCGAGCTCCGCGGGGCCCGGGGCCGCCGTCTGGCCGTGTGGCTCGGCCGCTTTCGGCTGGGGGGGGGGGTGGGGGATCGGGGCCCCCTTTCCCCGCTCCCACTCGCCCGGTGCCGCCCCGGGTGGGACAAGGCGGGTGGCCCAGGCCCACCCGGAGCTCCGGGGACAGGGCGGCCCTGGAGCAGCGCCGCTGGGATGGCACGGGGACAGGAGCCCCAGCCCCGCCGCCCCTCCGGGGGCTGCAGGCGGGGCGCGGGGACGGGGGGCTGCTGGCAGCCGGACTCCGGGGCGTCCTCCTGCGGCCGCCGCAGCGCCCGGCCCGGCCCGGCTGTCCCCGCGGCTCGGCGGCCCCGGGCGGCCCAGCCCCGCGCTCCGCCCCCGCCGGGCAGAGCCGCTCCGCGCCCTTTGCATAAGCCCTCCTCCGGGCCAAGGGGGAGGAAGTCGGCTCCCGCCTGGATGGGAGGCGGGGAGGGGGGCCGCTCCTGTTGTTTTCCGCGGGCGGAGCGGCGGCGGGGCGCGGGGCGGGGTGCGCCCTCCCGCCCGGGCCGGGCGCTCAGGAGGGAGGACCGCGCCGGGAGCCAGCGCCGCTCCAGCCCCGCTCCGAGCTCCCCTCCCCGAGCATCCTCCCCGGCCGCGGAGGGAGCGGGTCCGAGGTGCCGAGGGCCCGGGAGGAGCGCTTGGGGCCCCGGGGTCCGAGCCCAGCACGGCCGGACCTGCGCCTCCCGCGCGGCCTGCAGCCGCCGGGCGAGATGGCCGCGCGGGCGCCCGCGCCCCGGGTGCTGCTCTGCCTCGGGGCGCTGCTGGCCCGCGGGGCCGCCGCAGGTGAGGCCGCGATCCGGGGGAAAGTTGAGTTTTGCCCGGCGACGGCGGGAGGAGGGGAAGCCCGGGACCGAAGTGCCCGACTCCGCGGGCTCCGGTCCTGGTCGCCGCCGCTCCCCGCCCGGCGGCTCCGGAGTTTCCTGCTCGAAGCGCGGTCCCTGCGGAGAGGAATTTCCCCGGCTCCGCGCCCCGGGGAGGGGGGTCCCCGCGCTCCGGGGACGGGGGCTCTAAGCGCTTCGGGGAGGAGGGTCCCTGCGCCCCGTGGAGGGGGGTCCCCGCGCCCCGTGGAGTGAGGTCCCCGTGGAGGGAGCTCCCCGCGCTCCGGGGAGGAGGGTCCCCGCGCTCCGGGGAGGAGGGTCCCCGCGCTCCGTGGAGGGAGGTCCCCGCGCCCCGGGGAGGGGGGTCCCCGCGCTCCGTGGAAGGAGGTCTCCGCGCTCCGGGGAGGGAGGTCCCGGCGCCCCGTGGAGGGGGCTCTCCGCGCCCCGGGGAGGGGGGTCTCCGCGCCCCGTGGAGGGGGGTCCCCGCGCTCCGTGGAAGGAGGTCTCCGCGCTCCGGGGAGGGAGGTCCCGGCGCCCCGTGGAGGGGGCTCTCCGCGCCCCGTGGAGGGGGCTCTCCGCGCCCCGGGGAGGGGGGTCTCCGCGCCCCGGGGAGGGGGGTCCCCGCGCTCCTGGGAGGGAGGTCTCCGCGCCCCGTGGAGGGAGGTCCCCGTGGACGGGGCTCCCCGCGCCCCGGGGCGGGGGGGTCTCCGCGCCCCGGGGAGGGAAGTCTCCGCGCTCCAGGCCTGAGCAGAGGTGGAGGGGAACGTGGGGAAACGGAACGTGGGAATTCTGACGCTGGGAAATGAAGACGCACGTGGAGGGAGAAAGTGCTGTTGTTTTTTAGCGTGGGATGTAAGTTCGCATTCTGGTTTGACCTGCCGAGCAGGCGCTCAAAGTGGATGTTTTATTCCCACCGGCCCCTCTGCCTGAGGCTGAGCTTGCCGCACACCTGTAACCGTGGTGTTCCCCGCACACCCCGCAGGCAGGCTTCTGTGCACTCGTGCTTCCTTACTTCTCTTAGGTTTTTGTTGTCGTTTTGAAATAGTTTCAAGCTTACAAACAGCTTCCTCTACCCTCGGCATGACCTCTTACACTTGACCTGATTGACCAAAGGTCTTAAATGCTTTATCTGTGCTCTACAAAAATAAGCAGAATATAAAAAGATGGAAAATCTGTTTTAAAATTTAACCCACCAGCGAATGCATGTCTGTGGTGTGCAGAGCAGTGAGTGAGAGGTGTTGGGTAGAGGAGCAGGAGAAGGAGCGTGTGTGTGTGTGTGTGTGTGTGTGTGTGTGTGTGTGTGTGTGGTGGTGGTGGTGGTGGTGGTGGTGGTGGTGATGGTGATGGAGGTGATGGAGGTGATGGAGTTTGCCAGTGTCCTTGTGGGTTTTTGCCCAGTCCAGCACACCCAGCTCATCTCTTGCAGGTCCTGTAGGAATTGCTCCCGAGCTTCCTAGCAGCAAGTGCCAAAAGTTCCTGTTAGGCTCGTATAAGTTTTATTATTATAATTATTATTAAATTATTATCTGTGTACATATCTTATCATTGCTCGCACAAGTTTTTATTTTGTTTTGTGTTTAGCAATTATTTAGAAACGGTCTCATCGCTCATAACCAGTTAATCTGGAAAATATTCTGAAGCTCTGGCTGCGCACAGCCTGCTTTCCTACGACAGCTGAGCCGGGGTCACCCCTGTCCCTGGGGCTCATGGCCCCAGGTTTGTTTCTCCTTCTTGGTGATAGCTCTCACCCCGGCCCTCTTTTGACTTAGTGGTCACGGTGCCCTCTCCCCAGCTCTTTGCAGGTTTCCTTCATGGTGAACTCCAGGGCCGGGAATGTCAGATCTCAGTTTGATGTCCCCGGTTTGAATCATCCTGGAACCACCTGGCGGGACCGCCGCCTCTGCGGCCAGGCCCGGTTACTTTGATCCCCGGCCAAGTTCACCCCTGTGTACGGGCTGAGGGCTTCCCCGGTTGTTATATTTTTGTTGTTTCTTTTCCAAATGGAGAGTTTTCTCAGGGGGAAAAAATTGCCTTTTTTCTGTCCCTTAGCTTCACACAATGCTCATGCCTCCACTTGCTGCCGCAGATTGTAAATCCTGCGTCATTCTTGGGGGGAAAGTTGCTAGAAAAAAAAAAGTTTGGGTGCAGCCCCCCCCTCTATCCATGACAGGATGAGGGCCGCGCTGGGAAATGGCCCGGGCGGTGGCGTTCCCTCTGCTCCATTGGGAGACCCCGGGCCCGCTGGACACCAGGTGGTGACTGCGAACGGCGCAGCCTGACCTGTCATATCGTCCCGCCCTGTCTGGTTGGAGACCACAGAGTCCCTGGCCTGGAGTCGTGAACACCGGATGCTCCCAGCTCTCCCGGAGGCTCACAGGGACCTCAAATAAATCACTGGGCGCTTTCTGGACCTCAGTTTTCTCAACGCAAAACGAAGGGTTATAGGACAAGCAGGCATGGAACTAGAGGGCCCCCCGCCGCCCCCCACTATCCTTTCTGTGCCTGTTTCACAGACATCACTAGTCTGTGGCTGTCCTCTCTGCCTTGAGCCAGGGCTCAGCCTGCCTCAACTTTAACTCAGCCCCCAGGGCTGCCAGCCTAAGAGATCTCCAAGGTCAGCTTCAGCTTCGTTGGTACAGGGGTCCTCAAACTTTTTAAAGTGGGGGCCAGATCACGGTCCCTCAGAGAGCTGGAGGGCCGGACTATATGAACTACTAATTCCTACTGTAACACCTCGGCTGCGCTCACTGCTCAAAAAACCTGGCGGGCCGGATCAGACTCCTCTGCGGGCCGCATGTGGCCCGTGGGCCGTAGTTTGAAGACGCCTGAAGAGAACGGAGGGAGCACAGCCAGGAGGGGAGCTGGGAGTGCCTGGAGAAGGTTTCTTCTGTGATGGTGTCACCCGCTCCGGGAGGAGAGGACCACTGTTCGCTCCGGTTCCAGGACTAACCTTTCACCAGGGCTTTTCCGAGCCCCCGTAGCCCTGTGCCAGGAGCCAGGAGAGAGGCAGGTCTGTAGGCCTCATGAACACATGTTGCATCTCTGATTCCACAGCTCCTCTCTCCTCAGTGGGAATTGTCACTGAGAACTGGGGTTCCCAGGCCTAATTGTTTTAAAAATAATTCTCCCTTGCTTTTTAAAAAAATACATTTTATTAATTTTTTACAGAGAGGAAGTGAGAAACATCAATGAGAGAGAAACATCGATCACCGGCCTCCTGCACACCCCCTACTGGGAATGTGCCCACATCCTTGACCGGAATCGAACCTGGGACCCTTCAGTCTGCAGTCCGACCCTCTATTCACTGAGCCAAACTGGTCAGGGCCTCCCTTGCTTTTTAAAGTGTTGTTTTTCCCAGATGCATTTCTTGCCGTTTTGGAATCTCTAGCATTCAATGGCATTTGCCTTCCAGCAAGTGGCTTAGATTTTTTTGATTTTTTTTTTTTTTTCCTTCTTGTCCTGACTTTGGGCATGGTGTGGCCGAAATGGGGAGAGAATCAGAAATCCTGTGGTTCTGAGCTGGCTTCACGTCGTTCAAATGGAGCCACAAGTAACCAGACAGAAGATTGGGGTACAGATAACGGTTCCTCTTTATTTTATAAAGGGGAACGATTCCCAGAGGCAGCTGGCAGGTGTTCGTTTTTTCTTAATAGTAACTCTATTGAGATAGAATTCGCATACCATAAAATTCACCCTTTTAAAGTGCACGATGTATAGTTGTTAGTTTAGTCATAAGACTGTGCAACCCTCAGCATATTTTCATCACCCCAAAAAGAAGCCCTAGCCCTGGCCGGTTTGGCTCAGTGGACAGAGCATCCGCCTGTGGACTGAAGGGTCGTAGGTTTGATTCCAGTCAAGGGCACATGCCCGGGTTGTGGGCTCAATCCTCAGTAGGGGGCCACAAGAGACAGCCGATTGGGGGTTCTCTCTCATCATTGGTGTTTCTGCCTCTCCCTCCCCCTTCCTCTCCAAAATGAATAAAAATTTTTAAAAATCATTAAAAAACACTCACCCTGTATTCATTAGCAGTCATTCCCCACCCTCCCACTACTCCCATTTCCTCCAGACCTAGACATCTGCTAATTATTTTCTATTCCATAGAGTTGCCTGTATTGGATATTTCAGATAAATGGAACCACACAAGTATGTGGTCTTTTTTTTTTTTTTTTTTTTTTTTTAATATATTTATGTTTTTATTGCTTTCAGAGAGGGAGAGAGAGATAGAAACATCAATGATGAGAGAGAATCCTTGATCGGCTGCCTCCTGCACGTCCCACACTGAGGATCGAACTGGAACCTAGACTTGTGCCCTTGACTGGAATTGAACCCAGGACCCTTCAGTATGCCGACACTCTATCTACTGAGCCAAACTGTCTAGGGCAGGCTGTGGCCTTTTATGACTGCCTCCTTTCTTTTAAAATAATGCTTTCAAGACTCATCCATGATGTAGCATGCACTTCATTCCTTTTTATGGCCAAATAATATTCCCATTGTGTGGATATACCACATTGTATTTATTCATTCACCAGTTGATGAGCCTTTGGTTCTGCCTTTTGGCCATTATGAATAATGCTGCTGTGAGCATGCACATACACGTTTTTGTGTAGACATACGTTTTCATTTCTGTTCGGTAGACACCTCAGAGTGGAATCGCTGAGTCACACGGTAACTTTAGTCTTATGTGAAAATGCCCAACTGTCTTCCTAGTAGATGCAGCATTTAAAAATCCTACCAACAATGTATGAGTTCCCGTTTGTCCACATCTTCGCCAACACTTATTATTGTCTTTGATTTTAGCCATGTTAGTGGCTGTGAAGTGGCAGGTATCTTAATTGTGCTTTTGTTTGTGGTTCATGTCAACTACTGGCCAACCGTCCCAACAGGGTGGGGACTCTGTGTGTTATTGCGTCTCAAAAACCTACAGCTGATTTTTTAAAAAAACTGCTAATGTGGAGGGACCGTGCAAAAAAGGAGGTGGTTCAGATACCAATAAAGGTAGTAATAGCTGGACCTTCCCTTGTGCAGGCCTAGAGGCTGTAGTCATCGGAGAGGTTCATGACAACGTGACTCTGCCCTGCGGCAACATCTCGGCAACCAGGGGCCCGGTGACCTGGTACCGGAATGACTCGGAGCCCGTCTTCCTCCTGTCCTCCAATGCCAGCCGCCCGCCAGCCCAGCCCCGCTTCTCCCTGGTGAACGCCAGCTCCCTGCGCATCGAGGCGCTGAGCCTGCAGGACGAGGGCAACTACACCTGCTGGGAGGCCCTGAACGAGACTCGGTGGTTCCACGTGTGGCTGCAGGTGGCCAGTAAGTGCAGTGGGAGGGCCTGGGACCCGCGGGTGCGGCGCACAGAGCAGTGGACAGGAGGCCATGGCCTGGGTGTCATTCTGGGCTCTGCCACCTGCAAGCTGAGTGACCTCTTGCGCCTGTGTTTTCTCATCTGTAAAATGGGGATAAAAAGAATTCTTTTCCGCGTAGAACTGCGTGGTGAATAGATGCCAGTCGACCTGTATAAAGTGCTGTAAATGTTTCCTGGCGTAATAGCTAGCTGTTCCGTTGAGCTTGTTGTTAATATCATTTTATTATACAGCAAAGTCAGGGTACAACATAATCGAGTTAGACTACCTGAGTTCCAGTCCTATGGCTGTCACTTATCATTTTTAATAAGGAGCTTGATATCACTGAGCTTTTTTTTTTTTTTATGTATTAGGTGGGGATAATACATGGCATACCTTACCAGGTATGCACTCTTAGTTGTGGTGCTTAGCACAGGGCTGAGCATGAGCTGCTGTTACTACTGTGCTTTCCAGAAGTAGCGTCCATATGCATGCATGATTTTAGACCATGTTGTTGGTAAAGTACAGCCTGTGGGCCTTATCCAATCTGCTGCCTATTTTTGTTTTGCCATACTATCTTACATTTGGTGATGGGGGAATCAAAAGAAGAGTAATATCTATGACATAGGAAAATTATTATTTAAAAAAATATATATTTTATTGATTTTTTACAGAGAGGAAAGGAGAGGGATAGAGAGTTAGAAACATCGATAAGAGAGAATCATCGATCAGCTGCCTCCTGCACGCCCCCCACTGGGGATGTGCCCACAACCAAGTGCATGCCCTTGACCGGAATCGAACCTGGGACCTTTCAAGTCTGCAGGCCCACGCTCTATCCACTGAGCCAAACCGGTTTCGGCATTATATGAAATTCAGATCTCAGGGCCCGTAAGTGAGGTTTTATTGGATCACAGCCACGCTTGTCCATTTACATATTCATTGCCTTTGGCACTGCGACAGCAGCGCTGAGTGGCTGTGACACAGACTGTGTGGCCTGCGAGGCCTCCGCTATGTATCCTCTGTCCTCTTCACGGAAGAAGCTTGCTGTGCAGTTCAGTAGGAATACCCACCCGCTCACGTGGCTGCTCCCTGAGTTTCCTCATCTGTAAAGTACGGCGTTTACTCCTTCCTTTACTCGGCGTGTCTTTGCCGGGAGCCTGATGCCAGGCATGTGGTAGGCACTGGGCCAGGGGACAAGGTCCCCACCCGCCCGGAGCCGACGTTCTAGGTGGGGCAGGTGCGCAAGGTGTAAACCTGCGTCCCGCTGGCTGCTGTCTCTGTGACCGCGGGGAAGTCATTGAACTCGTCCGGCCCTCACGGTACCGTCTGCGGAGCCTGAGCACAGACCCACTGCACCCGTGCAGGAGGGAACCCTGCGCAGGGCTGGACTCCCAGGATGCGTTGGCCCACGGCGCTCCGATCCGCTCAGGTGATGGGATTCCTGTGGGGAAAAGTGCCTCTCAGGTTCCCGCCGCCACCGGCTGGCTGTGGGTCGGGAACTCTGTGTGCCCAGATCTCATGTGTCCCCTCTCTCCCCTGACATGGCTGATGACCGAGTCTCCTCAGGAGGAACGTTTGGGAACATTCTCACACGGCCCTGCGTGCCCGGGGGAGAATACTGGAGATGTGGCGGGTTGTTATCTGCGAGTGTGACTGGAGGGTGGGGCTGCGGAGCGCAAAGCCGCGGAGTGAGGGCGGCCGCGTCTCCCTCCTCCGCCGGGATCTCTGCGCACGGGACTCGGCTATCAGCCACGTCAGGGGGGAGAGGGGACCCGTGAGATCTGGGCACACGGAGTGCCCGACCCACAGCCAGCGCTGGTGGCTGGGAGCGAGAGTGGGCGCTGGGCGAGGCTGCCTTCTAGGAGTCAGGGTTTCCGGACACCTGGGCTGAGGCAGCCTGTCTGGAATGGGCACCACAGGTGATTCTTTTTTTTTTTTTAAACAAACATACATATATTTTATTGGTTATTATTATTATTATTATTATTTACAGAGAGGAAGGGAGAGGGATAGAAAGTTAGAAACATCGATGAGAGAGAAGCACTGATCAGCTGCCTCCTGCAACCAAGGTACATGCCCATGACCGGAATTGAACCCGGGACCCTTCAGTCCGCAGGCCGATGCTCTATCCACTGAGCCAAACCGGTCAGGGCTACGATGTAATTCTTGTTATTCGTCTCAGGACAAAAAGTCCCCGCGCTGATACCGGTTAACGTAAGGGGTGCTGTTAGGATTGGGGGTACAGGGATCCCAGGGTCCAGAGCAGTTCATGGCAGTTGATGTCACTGACTCCCCCAGCCCCTCCTGCCTCCAGACTGGGGGGGTGTGAGGTGGGAACAGCTGTGCCTCTGCCTGCAGACAGGCCGGAGGAGCGGGGACGGGGGCACCGACCTCAACACGTCCCGGTAGACTTTGTGCTTCTCTCAGGATAGCATCTCCCTGCCTTGGGGAGCCGGGCGATCCCGCTGGAGATTCCCTGTGAGAGGCCGCCATGAGGGTGCACAGAGCCAGGCTCGTCTGCTTTCCTCAGGCCACGCCGGTGTGCAGGGAGGGGACGGGACCGGAGCCTGTGGATCAGGAGCCCGGTGATGTAGGTGGGGTTTGGAGGGTGGAGGAGTGGCTGTCACTCCAGACTTCCTGGAGACAGAGGCTCAGGAAAGCCCCTGCTTCCCTCGCTCACGGGGCCCATCCCGTTGGCTCTCATTCTCTGCTGGCGGTGGTGGCACTGGGCCTCACCACAGCCTGAGGTCCCAGGGGGAGGACTGCGGGGCACCCTGAGGACAGATCCCTGACCCCCATGGAAGACGGGTGATCCCCGCCCAGAGGTGGGTTCGTCCGATTCTTGCCAAGCTCATCAGAAGCAGCCACGGGTCCCTACTCTTTGGCCAGAATCCACATCCCTGGGGAGGTCGGGGGGCCGTGGGGTGGTTGTGTTTGCGTCTTTGTTCCGTCTCCAAAAGTGACATGAAAACAGTTTCTGTAAGTTTTCCCGGGATCTTATCCTGCAGGAGAAGTATCAATGTGCCACTGGCTAGCAGCTACCCAGTGGATTCTTAGATCGTTTTCAGGTAAAAGTGCCGGGAACGAGAGTAAATGTCTGAAGGCCGCTTCTCCTATTGGCGAGGAACCCACCGCGGAGATGGAGTCTCCCTTTATGTGGGCGCCCGAGGTGCAGACTAACCATTTGAGGCCGACCTGTAGTTATGGGGAAAGGAGAGAGGTGAACTCTATGTCAAGAATGACTGCAGAGCCAAAACCGGTTTGGCTCAGTGGATAGAGCGTCAGTCTGCGGACTGGGGGGGTCCCAGATTCAATTCCGGTCAAGGGCATGTACCTTGGTTGTGGGCATATCCCCAGTAGAGGGTGTGCAGGAGGCAGCTGGTCGATGTTTCTCTCTCATCGATGTTTCTAGCTTTCTGTCCCTCTCCCTTCCTCTCTGTGAAAAATCAATAATATATATATATATATATATATATATATATATATATATATATATATAAAGAATGCAGCAGAGAAGAGGAAGGCAGCAGCAGTGCTAGATGGTTCTAGAACAGGAGTCAAGCCTTTTCTATAGAGATCCAGATGATAAATATTTCAGGTGTTATGGGCCAATGGGCAAAATTGAGGATATTATATACGTAAATACTTATATAAAAAGAAAGAAAACCATCTTTTACATCATATTATTGAAAAAATTCAAAGTGTAGTGATAATTGAGTGCTTTTTTTTGGTAGTGCAGGCCTACGTATTAATGAGAAGGACAGAATTCTTTCTGGAGGAGATAACATTACACTTAATTGGGTTTCAGAGTTCGTGTTCTCCCTCATCAAATCAATTGCGGATGTCCATCTGTAAAAACCATGCTTATTGGCCTGTGGACTGAAGGGTCCTGGGTTTGATTCCAGTCAAGGGCATGTACCTTGGTTGCGGGCGCATCCCCAGTAGAGGGTGTGCAGGAGAGGCAGCTCATGGATGTTTCTCTCTCATCGATGGAACTCTCTATCCCTCTCCCTTTCTCTGTAAAATACCAATAAAATATATTTAAAAAAATAATAATAAATAAAAACCATGCTTAGCTTGTGGCCCAGATAAAAACAGACAGTGGGCATCTGCTGCCAGTGTGTGGTCCAGAATCCATCTGCAGGTGCACCTTTACCAATATCATCAGATAGAAACCTCTAGACGGCTGACCTCAGGTCAGACACCAGGCTTCGGGGCATCTCATTGGATCCTTCGAAAACCCAGTGGTAGAAGTTATTCCTGTTCTTTTCATCTCATAAAAAAAGGGCAAGAAAGTGAGAATGAGAAGGGCGGACACTTTCCTAAGGTAATCCATTTAGAAGCTGCTGTAGGATTTACATCCAGGTCTGTCTGAATTCAGAGTACAAGCTCATAACTACTAGACTAAGGCATCCATCCCACAAAGAGTCAAGACCTGAAACTGACATTGACCAAGGCCTTGATAAGATGCCCAACCAACTGATCCACACTTGTCAGGGCATTTCATTTATATATATATGTGTGTGTGTGTGTGTATATATATATATATATATATATATATATATATATATATATATATATATATATATATATATAAAACTGATTTTTTACAGAGAGGAAGAGGGATAGAGTTAGAAACATCTATAAGAGAGAAACAACCATCAGCTCCTCCTGCACACCTCCTACTGGAGATGTGCTCACAACCAAGGTACATGCCCTTGACTGGAATCGAACCTGGGACCTTTCAGTCCGCAGGCTGACGCTCTATCCACTGAGCCAAACCGGTTTCGGGTCATTTAACTTTTTGTTTGAGCTCTTCCATTTGCGTCCTTCTCATCTATTGCCTGTATCCAACTCCATTTCTTGCCGAGAACTGTGCTGGCCAGAAGCTCCTCCCCGGCTAGTTTCTGGGAGTCCACACTGTCCATGCCCGGCTGCCGGGGCCCGTGAGACCCCAGTTTGAAAGTCCTGGCTGGCCAGTCTAACGCACTATCTTTACTGCCCAGGCGTGGCTTCCGGGACCTTGGAGGCACTCTGTGCTTAGCTGGGTGTCTGCCAACCGTGGGCACTCCCTCGGACCTGCTGGTCCACATACCTAACCAGCTAGCCAGCCGAAGTGAATGGGACAGCTGAGCACCTCCCACACCACAGGATCACTCCCCCTCCCCGCCCCCAGGCCCTCTGTGGGAGGCGACATGATTCTGACAGATCGCCCAGACTCTTAGGAACCAGCCCCAGCTTGACAAGCATATGGTCAAGGGTATTGGCCTCAGAATCCCACCATTTCTAGTGTTTATACCGTGGCTCCAGGTGTAAATGAAATAGATGCTGTCTGGTGAGGGGCTCTGGAAAAAAGCCTTTTCCTCCCCCCAGTAATTTTCCCCGCTGGCCTATTTCTGCTCAGAATTTCCTGTAGTCATAGTTTCATTCCTTCGGCCTAGCGTTGCCCTTCCTGGACTCCTAAACCCCAGCATGACGGGAGTGTAAGTAGGTGTTGGATATATTCTTTTCCTCAAGGCGACGTGGCATCTTAGGGGCGCTGGGTACCCGCAGTGCCTCCGGAGGGCATTTCTGGGGGCAAGAGAGTTCAGAGATGGGAGGGGAATGAAGGTAAGACGCAGCATTCATCACGTGCTCCCCACAGTCAGGCATTGTTCCGGGTGCTGAGCTAGACCAGTGTTTCCCAACCTTCTCTCATGATGAGAATCACCTGGTGGAGTTGTTAAAACACAGATTCCTGAATCCCAACTAAGAAGTGCTAAACTAGAATTTTTGAGAACATATAGGTAAAATTGCATACCTAACTTAGTGCTCTGTATATAAAACCTGTCTTAGAGCACTAGTTAAGTATACAATTTTACCTATATGTTCTCAAAAATTCTAGTTTAGCACTTCTTAGTTGGGATTCAGGAATCTGTGTTTTAACAACTCCACCAGGTGATTCTCATCATGAGAGAAGGTTGGGAAACACTGAGCTAGACTAACTCCTGTAATCGGCACCACCACCCCACCAGGCGGGTTCTGGTGGCACCCCCACTTCACAGACGAGGCAGCGGAGGCTGGGAGGGGTTGAGCAGTTTGCCGTTGAGGGTGGAGTTGTGCGGGGGGTGGGGGGGGTTCTCACAGGACTCAGCATGTGTCATGGTCACGGCAAAGGTTCACAAAGCCGGATCAGTGAAGGGGAAGGCGCCTGCGCCCTTTATTGGGGTGAAGTCCAGCGAAGAGCAGGAGCTTCCTAGAGTCCTCGCCCCAGGACGCGCTTATTTCCTTGTGGCAGCACCCGTGAAACGCTGTCTACCAGGAGCCATTAGGGACTCTGCACCCTGAGTTTTTTTGTTTGTTTTTAAAAATATATATTTTATTGATTTCAGAGAGGAAGGGAGAGGGAGAAAGAGATAGAAACATCAATGATGAGAGAGAGAGTCATTAACAGGTTGCCTCCTGCACGCCCCCTACTGGGGATCGAGCCCACAACCTAGGCATGTGCCCTTGACTGGAATCGAACCCAAGACCCTTCAGTCCCCAGGTCGACGCTCCAGCCATTGAACCAAACCAGCTAGGGCTGCACCCTGAGTTTTTATTGAGGGCCGGTCCCTCTGGCCTCCTCTAGCATGTACCCAGCCAAACCCTAGACTCTCAGAAGGAAAGCTGGGGTTCGCTGTGAACCACATTGTCTGTCCCTGCAGTGTAGGCGCAGTGAGCCACGCTCTCATCAGTTCTGGGGGTGGTGGGAACCCCCTGACATCCACGTTCCCGGTCACCCCGCAAGCTGGCCTTTCTGGGAACAGTCTCAGGCCTGCTGTGTTAACTCTTTTTTAAATATATTTTGTTGATTTTTTACAGAGAGGAAGAGAGAGGGATAGAGAGTTAGAAACATCGATGAGAGAGAAACACTGGTCAGCTGCCTCTTGCACGCCCCGCCCCACTGGGGATGCGCCTGCAACCAAGGTACATGCCCCCAACCTGAATCGAACCCAGGACCTTTCAGTCCTCAGGCAGATGCTCTATCCACTGAGCCAAACCGGTTTCGGCTGTGCTAACTCTTTAGTGCACAGATGAACTTTCTACTCACCAGTGTTCTTCAAATGCAGCGATTTGCACTCTTTCTTCTGTCAATCAGACAGAACCGCTGGGGGTTAATGAGAGAAAGTGCCAGGGCACTTAGCGGAGCCTTTGTTCCGGTGGGAGCCGGTGAGGCCAGTGGGAGCCGGTGGGAGCCGGTGGGAGCCGGTGAGGCCGGTGGGAGCCGGTGGGAGCCGGTGAGGCCGGTGGGAGCCGGTGAAGCCGGTGGGAGCCGGTGGGAGCTGGTGGGAGCCGGTGAGGCCAGTGGGAGCCGGTGAGGCCGGTGGGAGCCAGTGAGGCCGGTGGGAGCCAGTGGGAGCCGGTGAGGCCGGTGGGAGCCGGTGAGGCCGGTGGGAGCTGGTGAGGCTGGTGGGAGCCGGTGGGAGCCGGTGAGGCTGGTGGGAGCCGGTGGGAGCCGGTGAGGCTGGTGGGAGCTGGTGAGGCTGGTGGGAGCTGGTGGAAGCCGGTCAGGGGCTCCTGTGACCCGCCCCCTGTCGTCGCAGGCGGCCCGGACCAGCTGGCGGTGAACGTCTCCTCCACGGGCTCCCTCCCCAACGGCACCCGCTTTGCCGTGCGGGGCTCCCGCGTGGACTTCGGCTGCGCCAGCAGCTCCCGGCCGCCGCCCCTGGTCGAGTGGTGGTTCCAGGCCCCGGGGTCCAGGCCTGAGCCCTTCGGGAGCAACTGGACGGCCAGCGGCTTCTCGCTGCTCCTCATGTCGCCGAACCTGCAGGGCAACTACACCTGCCGCGCCCGCAACCCGCTCAGCGGCCGGCAGCGCAGCACCACCACCGAGCTCCTGGTCTACGGTGAGAGCACCCCTCCTCCCTCTGACCTGTGAGCCCCCTGTGTGACCCTGCTGTGTGAGCCCCCTGTGTGAGCCCCCTGTGTGAACTCCGCTGTGTGAACTCTGCTGTGTGACCCCCTGTGTGAACTTCCCTATGTGAACCCCCCATGTGAACCCCCCTGTGTGACCCCCTGTGTGAACTCCCCTATGTGAACACCCCTATGTGACCCCCTGAGAACCCCCCTGTGTGAACCCCCCCGTGTGACCCCCCTGTGTGAACTCCCCTGTGTGAACTCCCCTGTGTGAACCTCCCTGTGTGACCCCCCTGTGTGAGCCCCCTGTGTGACCCCCGTGTGTGAGCCCCCTGTGTGAACTCCTCTGTGTGAGCCCCTTGTGTAACCCCCCTGTGTGACCCTGCTGTGTGAGCCCCCTGTGTGAACTCCACTGTGTGACTCCCTGTGTGAACTCCGCTGTGTGAACCCCCTGTGTGACCCCCTGTGTGAACTCCCCTATGTGAACACCCCTGTGTGACCCCCTGAGAACCCCCCTGTGTGAACCCCCCGTGTGACCCCCCGCTGTGTGAATTCTGCTGTGTGAACCTCCCTGTGTGAACCCCCCTGTGTGACCCCGCTGTGTGACCCCCTGTGTGAGCCCCCTGTGTGACCCCCTGTGACCCCCGTGTGTGAGCCCCCTGTGTGAACTCCTCTGTTTGAGCCCCTTGTGTAACTCCCCTGTGTGAACCCGCTGTGTGAACTCCCGTGTGTGACCCCCTGTGAAACCCCCCTTTGTGAACCCTCCTGTGACCCCGCTGTGTGAACCCCTGTGTGAACTCCGCTGTGTGAACCCCTTGTGTAACCCCCCTGTGTGACCCCCCTGGGTGGCCCCCCTGTGTGACCCCCTTGTGTGAGCCACCCTGTGTGAACTCCCCTGTGTGAATCCCGTGTGTGACCCCCCTGTGTGACCCCCTGTGTAACCCCTTTGTGTGACCCCCTGTGAAACCCCCCTTTGTGAACCCTCCTGTGACCCCGCTGTGTGAACTCCCCTGTGTGAATCTCCCTGTGTGACCCCTTGTGAACCCTCCTGTGTGAATCCCGTGTGTGAACCCTCCTGTGTGAACCCCCCTGTGTGAACCCCGTGTGTGAACCCCCCTGTGTGAACCCCTGTGTGAACCCTCGTGTGACCCCCCCATGTGTGAACCCCCTGTGTGAACCCCGTGTGCGCCTTGTCCTCTGTCCCACAGGCTGGCCTGCTGCATGTGTCCCCACATGCTTTTGCAGCTCCCTCTGCAGCGTGTGCACACACATCCCGGGCTGCGGGCTGGGGAGGGAGCCGCCTCTTCTAGGCCAGTGTTTCCCAAACTTTAGACATATGTGTACCCCTTCTATAATTTTCATAACACTGAGTACCCCTCGTCCTCATGAGAACGTAGAATTAGGCACAACTAAGCACAGTGCAGTGCATACCCCCACCACACTCCGGTACAACGCGTACCCCCACCAAACTCTTCCTGTACCCCTGGGGGGACGTGTACCACACTTTGGGAAACACTGTAAATTGCTGCTACGTGAGGCCCAGCATCCCTGTGAGCCACAGAGGGAGGTCCCTGCCTAGCTCATGGCTGTCTGTTTTCTTTTCTTTCTTTTTTTTTAAAATATATTTTATTGATTTTTTACAGAGAGGAAGAGAGAGGGATAGAGAGAACCATCGATGAGAGAGAAATATCGATCAGCTGCCTCCTGCTCCCCCCCTAACTGGGGATATGCCCGCAACCAAGGTACATGCCCTTGACTGGAATCGAACCTGGGACCTTTCAGGCTGCAGGCCAACGCTCTATCCATTGAGTCACACCGGTTTCAGCATTACATTGGATTTATAGGTCTGTAACTTGTTAAAATGTTGTGTTTTTAGTAATACGTGCACATGGTAAACAGGAAGTCTATGTTGGGGGTGGGAGTAAGTCCCACCAGTACCCCCTCTAGGCACCAAAACTGTCTACTGGAACTTTCCATGATAATGGAAATGTTCTGTACTGTGTAGTCTAATAACCACCTACCATGTGCAGTGAGCGCTTGAAATGGGGTGGTGTGATGGAGGAACTAAATTGGCCATTTTATTTTGTTAGTTTAAACGTATAAAGCCACACGCAGTTAGTGAGAAACACAAAGATAAGTCAGACGGAGCCCCCAGCAGAGGAAACCTGGCTGCCGTCTGGCCTTCATCTGTGCCAGGAGCTGAGCACGGTACCCCGCTGTCCCTGCTCCCAGCTCTGCGGGCCAGCCCGGTGCTGACCTCGGCGTTGGGAGTAAGCCCAGGCTCCCTCGGGTGTCTTGCAGCTCCCCCTGTGTCAGACCTCGAGTGCTGGGCAGAGATGTCACCAAGCCCGCTCCTGCTGCAGCTCACCTGCCGCTGGGACGGGGGGTACCCGGACCCTAACTTCCTGTGGACAGAAGAGCCAGGAGGCGTGGTTGTGGGGACGTCCAAGTTGGAGACGCTGAACCGGTCCCGGCTGTCAGATGGCCAGAAGTTCAAGTGCGTCGGGAGCCACATAGCAGGGCCGGAGCTGGGAGCCAGCTGCGCGGTGCAGATCCGTGAGTCTGGCGTGCCTTGGCCCGGGGTTGGGGTCCACCCGCCTTCCTCTGGGAGAGCCGTTTGATGCCTTCCTTTCAGCCTTGGAAGCTTAACCAAGCTCCTTGGTCCTAGGCTGAGCTATATTAATTGAGCACCCTGTACACGAGGCAGTTTCTAGGTGCTGGAGATGGGCCAGGGAACAAGACAAACAAGGTTTTTTATTAGCGATCTCCCGTACGTAACACATCACCCCCAAACTTAATGGCTTAAAACAACCAATCACTTACCATCTCAGGATCTCAGTGGGTCAGGAATTCCCAGAGGGCGCGGTGGGGAGGGTGTGTCTGGGATCCACCATGCCTGGGTCTTGGCTGCAGGCCTCGCCGGGAGGGCTGACGTCACCCGAAGGCTCTCACTCTCCCACCTGGCAGGCCGCCTCCTCTCTGGGTGGGACGCTCCACAGGGCCCCGTGCGCGTCCTCACAGCATGGCGGCCGGCTTCCCCCAGAGCAGGTGATGCAGGAAGGTTAAGCCAGGTGGATGGTACCTTTTTATGACCGAGCCTCCAGCCAGGTGGCTTCCCGCGCACCACGTTCTGTTCATTGAGCGAGTCACTCAGTCTGGCTTCACTTTCAAGGAGAGTGGGGGACATTAAGTACTATTTTCTTTTTTTTTTAAGGCAACACTGTTTGAAGGGAGAAGTGTCGAAGAATTTCTGGACACATTACTATTCCTCTTTTACAGAGCTTAAAATCTGGGTGGTGTGCAGGTGGGAAGACGACAAAAAAAATACAATAAATAAGATAGGTTCAGATGGTGAGAATGATTATGAGAATATAATGGTATTTGTAAGAGAGTCTCTTTATTTATTTATTTATTTATTTTGCAATTGGAGCTTTTTTTAATGTTTTTTTAAAAATATATTTTATTGATTTTTTACAGAGAAGAAAGGAGAGAGATAGAGAGCTAGAAATGTCGATGAGAGAGAAACATCGACCAGCTGCCTCTTGCACACCCCCTACCAGGTATGTGCCCGCAACCAAGGTACATGCCCTTGACTGGAATCGAACCTGGGACCTTTCAGTCCGCAGACCGATGCTCTACCACTGAGCCAAACCGGTTTCAGCAGCAGTTGGAGCTTTTTTTATTGCCCTTGGTGTTCCCTCCTTGTAGAGGTCGCCTTCTGTAGCCACAGGACCCTAGGGCCAGGTGCCAAACAGCAGCAGCAGTGATGGCGGGTGGCTTGGCCCCCTCGACGTTGAGGATGAGGCGGTCGTAGCCAAAGCCGGACACTCGGGCAATGACGCGGGCGGCGTCCTCACGGCGGTGGAAGCTGATGAAGGCAGAGCCCTTGGACTGGCCAGTGGTCTTGTCCTTCGCCAGGTAGAGGCGGGAGATGGAGCCGAAGGGTCTGGAGAGCTCTTGCGGGTCTGTCTCACGGGTGTCCTCTGGCAGGTTGGTGGCGCGGGTGGTGGCATTGTCATCAGCTCTGCGGCTGGGCTGCATGGACTCCCCATGGCGGCTGGCCCCGTCCCGCAGGCTCGGTGGCACGTACTTCCCTGTCTTGCTCTGGGCCGCCCGCACCGGCTCCCGCTCTCCAGGCAGTTTGTCCTTCTCGCCGGCGGACAGGCCCAGTTGCTCAGCCAGCTCCTTGTGCATGGGCCCCAGCGTGTCCTTGTAGGGACTGCGGGTGGTCCAGGGGTCGCCCTTGCAGACACGGCAGGGCACGATCTTCTGGCCCTTGGGCTTGTTCATTGGGTCCTCCTCCTCCTGGCAGTTCAGATCCTCCTTGCTGGTGATGAAAGTCATGGACACATCCTCACTGACTGTGGTGGTGGCCACATTGGGCCTCGGTGGGCCAAACTCTGAGTTCCCAAACTTCTTCCAGTTCTTCCTCTTTGCAACTGCCTTTGAGGCCTTCCGGGTCTCAATTCTGAAGGTGCGGACAATCTTGAACTTCTTGCTATCTTCATCTATCTTGTACTCGGTTACTGTCTTGATGTTTCCATTGATGATGTCCTTGGGTGCTGGAAGTGGAGCTCCTGGCAGTCGCTCAGGCTCTGGGCTCATGTCGCCAGTGGCCAAAGGGATCCCCTTAAGGAGCTCGCTGGTTGTCCTCTCCCTCCTCCTCTGCCTGGTCGGCCCAGCTGGGTTTCGAATCAAAGTCCCCAGTGGGCATTCAAGAGAGTCTCTTTTAGGGAAGGTGTTAGGGAGGTCTCCTTGGGGCAGTAAGACAGGGTTGAGCAAAGTGGTTTACAGGTGTGAGTATGAAAACACGGAGTGTATTCTTGTATTATTGTTTATTAATTACTAGAGGCCTGGTGCACGAATTCATGTATGGCTGGGGTCCCTTGGCCTGGCTGGTGATCCAGGCTGGCCCAGTGGGGGAGGGGAGGAGAGAGAGGGTGGAGCAAGGGAGGGAGAGGAAGAGACTACAGGAGATTGGCTGGGAAAGTACACTGACCACCAGGGGGCAGCTCCTGCATTGAGTGTTTGGTCAACAGGTCATAACGGTCATTTAAGCTTTTATATATAGAGATTGTATTATTTTCCATATGAATAACTGTAGACCTACTTTTACCCCAGTCTGTACAGTTTTTGAGCTGAGACTTCCAGGACGAGAAGGAGTTGACCGGGTGAAGTTGACTGAGGGTTGAGTACTTGTGGCAGAGAGGACAGCAAAGGCAGATGTCTTGAGATGGAAACATACTCGGCATTTGAGGTACTTAGAGAAGATCAGTGTAGCCAGAGCATTGTGCTTGAGGTACCGATGAGCCTTGGTGGGTGTGGTGGGTTGAATTGTGTCCCCCAAGAAAGTTGTTTCAAGTCCTAACCCAGGTACCTATGGAATAAGGGTCCTTGCAGATGTTGTTATGGTAAGATGAGGTCATACGTCATATTGGATGAGGGTGGGCCCTATTTAATGGCTGGCATCCTTATAAAGAGAGGAAAATTTGGACATGAACACACAGGGAGAACACCTGATGATGATGGAGGCAGAGGTTCATAATGCATCTACAAGCCAAGGAATGCCAATGACTGCCAATCAAACAGAAACTAAGGGAGAGGCATGGGGTAGTGTCTCCATCAGCACCTTTAAAGGAACCAGGCCTGCTGATACCTTGATTATGAACTTTTGACTTTCTGAGCTGTAGAGACGGCCTGTTGCTTTAAGCCACCCAGTGGCTGTATTGTAACAGCTCTGGAAACTAACACCATGGGTGCGCAAGGCCCTGGGCGGGTTGGGTTTTATCGGCCGTGGTGAGATTTTCCTCGTGGTTTACCAGGATCGTCTTCAGAGGTGCCGGGCTGAGCTGGCTGTGCCAGGAGGTGCTTGTTTTCCTGGTCACGTGCTATTCCAAGGGCAGTAAGCAGACATGGCCCAGGGCCCTCTGTGTCAGAGACTGTGCCTGGCCCGGGGCAATGGGCAGACCAAGACTTACTTTCTGTACTGGAACAGGGCTTAGCAAGCGGCTTTTTGCAAACTTTAAAAATGAGATATAATTTACATAGCATAAACTTTACTATTTTAAAATGTATTCATTCAGCCGAAACCGGTTTGGCTCAGTGGATAGAGCGTAGGCCTGCAGGCTGAAAGGTCCCAGGTTCGATTCCGGTCAAGGGCATGTACCTGGGTTGCGGGCACATCCCCAGTAGGGGGTGTGCAAGAGGCAGCTGATCGATGTCTCTCTCATCGATGTTTCTCTCTCTCTATCCCTCTCTCTTCCTCTCTGTAAAAAAAAATCAATGAAATATATTTAAAAAAAATAAAATGTATTCATTCAGTGGTTTTTAAAAATTAGTTGATGGATATTTAGAGAGAGAAGGGGAGAGGGAGAGAGAAACATCAAAGTGAGAGCAAAACAGGGATGGGCTGCTTTCTGCATTCCCCTTACCAGGGACCCAGCCTGCAGCCTGGACATGTGCCCCGAGCAGAAATCAGACGGGCAGCCTCTCCATGTCTGACCAGCTGGGTCACCCCGGCCAGGGCTGACCCAGGGTTGGCTTGTTCGCTTCGTATGTTCACAACGCTGTCACCACGACCTCATTCCAGGAAATCCCCTTCCCCCAGAGAGCAGCCCTGCACCCAGGGCAGTCCCTCTGGAAAGACGGTGCGAGTGTCACTCCCCACAGCTCCTCCTGACAGTCAATGCTCCCTTCTTCTTTTAGGCTCTTCCTGTTTGCTCGTTAGGACATGGCTTTGTGACATCTGGTATTATTGTTTGCTTAGCATTGTATTATTTTCCATACAAACAACTAGAGACCTACGCCTGCCCCACCCTGTGAGTGCTCAGGATTAGGCAATGCTTCTGGAGAAGGGAGCTGACAGGTTTCCGAATTCTAGGAAGCAGACACAGCACCTGGAACCTTCCGCACTCTGACATGGTCCAGTTTTCCCCTGTTCCCTCACGGGCACTCGAGCCCACCGCTTCTCAAGCCTTGATGCACACAAGTCACCTGGGGACCTAGGAATGATGCAACTTCGGACTCTCTGGGTTTGAGGGGGGCCCGAGACTCTGCATTTCTAATCAGTTCCCAGCACGTGCTGCTGCTGCTGGTCCACAGACCCCCCTTCCAGTAGCAAGGCCCTTGGGGCAGAGGGGTACACGGCTCATCATTCACTTGGGGGGACTGGTAAGTCGTTGAGAAGTAACGTCGATGTCCACCTTAGGGATGCAGAACAGCGTAGCTCCCCAAAATCATGAGAAATAGTACTTTTGGGGAGTCCTGCCGCTCATCTCTCTCTTCAAACAGCACGTAGGTCCCTGAACTAAAAACAAACAAAAACCCAACGCAACCCATGATGAGCTGCATGGCCAGCCCAGCATGTCAAGGACCCAGCATGTGTGGTCCGTCTCTCGCAGATCTCGGAGGCCTTTGCATCCCCCTCCCCCCGACCCCTGACCCCTGACCCCTGACCCCACCCTGGCACACAGCACCTCTTAAGCGAAACTCGTTGAATTCTTGGATGGGTGGGTGACTCAGCTTTCTGAGGGGGTGAATGCTGTGTGTGTCCAAAGTGTACTTATGTACATGATCTTTGGGAGTTTGGAGGGACTAGCCCAGGTGTCGGCAACCTGAGGCTCCGGAGCCGCATGCGGCTCTTTTTGTTAAGTGAAAAAATCCTTTTTCTGCACGATCCGGTATATAGCATTAAGGTAAGAAACAATATATGCAGTGTTATATTTGTTTTAAATGTCACAATGGTTTTGCGGCTCCCAGGTGTTTTTTTTTTTCCTCCGAAAACAGGTCCAAGTGGCTCTTTATGTCTTAAAGGTTGCCGACCCCTGGACTAGCCAATTATTTGTTTTGATTTTCATAAGACGGGGGTCAGGGGTCGGGGGCATTTCTCAAACTTCAGTTGGGGGCCTGCAAAGTACAAACATACTAAGGCTGGACACCGCCCTGGCTTCATGGCCCCAAAGGAAATGCGGGTTAGCCACAGACGGGGTGTGTGTGTGTGTGTGTGTGTGTGTGTGTGTGTGTTTGAGCAATGTCGGGTAGGGGGCACTGACTATTGACCCAAGAACAGGTGCAACATGTGAGTGTCCTGAGCAAACCTAGGTTCGTGGGGTTCTTTTTTGTTGACCTACAGAGAGAGGCCTGGTCTGTCCCCGCTCCTCCTCCCCCACCCTTCTACCCGGGATGCCAGCAATGAAACCCTAGATTCTCTCTGGGAACAACTGCCAAGGGGAAGTGTGCCATTTCACCCTCCCAGGCGGGAACCCAGTGTGCCCTCTGTGTCTCCCAGCTGCCGGAAACGGTCTTACAACCCAAGATGAATTTGGTGTTCGTCTTGGGAAAGGGTTTCTTGTGCAGAGAAAGCAAATGGGTCACTGAGGCCTGCCTTACAGATCCTCATGTCCTGCTCAGGCCCCAAGGCCACGGGCACCCTGAGGCATTTTTTAAAAATATATATATATTATTGATTTTTTACAGAGAGGAAGGGAGAGAGATAGAGAGCTAGAAACGTCGATGAGAGAGAAGCATCGACCAGCTGCCTCTTGCACACCCCCTATTGGGGATGTGCCCGCAACCCAGGTACATGCCCTTGACCGGAATCAAACCTGGGACCTTTCAGTCCGCAGACCGACGCTCTACCACTGAGCCAAACCGGTTTTGGCCTAGAACAGAACCGGGGTGGGCAGAGTGCAGGTCCCCCAGCCATGGCCGTTTCCTGGTCTGCAGAGCCCGTGTTAGGTTACCTCCCGTGGCTAAAGGGACTTCGCAGGTGTGATTGAGGATTTGAGATGGGGCGGTTGTCCTAGATTTCCGGATGGGCCCGATGTCATCGCGAGAAGCCTTAACCAAAGGGAGGCTGGAGGGTCACCCTCAGTAGTGGGTGGTGTAACAGACACAAAAGGTTGATGTGAAGGGGCCACCAGCCCAGGAATGCAGGTGGCTCCGGACGCTGGGAAAACAAGGAAATGGATTCTCCCCTGGAGGCTCCAGAAGGAACCAGCTCTGCCGATATTTTGCTTTTAGCCCAATAATGTCACGTTGGACTTCTGACCTCCGGAACTGGGAAAGCATACGTTTCTTTGTTTTAAGCCGCCGAGTTTGCTGCCGTCGGTCACAGCAGCAATAGGAAACTGTACAGCTGCCTTATTGTCTCCTTGAACACCCTTGTCAGACTGTATGCCCTTTTTCAAAAAAATATGCTCAGTGTGGTTGTTACACAGAGAAGCCTACAGCACAGAGGTAAGGAATGTGGCCCATGGGAGCCTGGCTGTTTGGGTTCCAGTCTTACATCCGGGTTTGCCCAAGACGTCCCCCGTTTTCGCATTGAAAGCCCCAAACCAGGACAGTGCGTCACCCTGAATCTTAGCTGCATCACTTACTTAGTTGTGTGACTTTGAGCCAGTTATTTAACTTTCTCCGTGCCTTAGTCTCCCCGTCTGTAAAATGGAACTAATGGCAGGGTTGTTAAAAGAACTAATTGGATTAATATGAATAACAGTGTCTCACCCATTGTCAGTGCTCTGTAAATGTTAGCATTTGTTATTATATTAGAGGCCCAGTGCACGAATTCATGCACATTGAAAGGAAGTTAATTAGAAGAAATATTTTAATATCGCTATTCGCCCTTCCTCTATAATAGAAGTGTCAGAGATGAGAGAAAATTAGAAAAATGTATATGAAAATAATATATGTTGATTAATAAATAAACAATAACAGGATATAACAATAAAGACATGCTATAAAAACAACAACATGACATAAAAACATTAATAAAAACAACGATGACAAATTGATTAAACTTATTCTAATATCTCCCTTGTACCACATTAAGAGTAAAAACACTTTCAGAGTGCTTGACTGATTTCCCTTGTGATGAAGTATTTACAACTTAACTTTAACAGAGAGAAAGCAATACATAACTTACCATGTCCGAAAACGGATTCAGGTAGGAATAGTCTTACTCTGTCTAGAGTTTGTCCTTGTGACTTATTAACAGTCATTGCAAATGCTGGCGTCACAGGAAACGGTCTTCGAATTAATTTAAATGGGAGGCCAGTGTCAAATGGGGACAAATCAGTTCTTGGAATCAGAACAACCTCCTTCCTCAGGTCCTGTTAATAGTTCAGCTTCGATTATGTTAGGTCACAATCTTTTGATAATTAACCTAGTACCATTACAAAGACCCCATTTACTACTAAGATTTCTCAGTAGCATAATGATCGCACCCACTTTCAATTTTAATTCATGACATGGCATTCCCAAAGGAGTAATACTATTAAGAAATTCGATGGGAGCGTTATGTATTGCACATGCGTGAGTCAGTGTTTTTTTTTTTAAACTAGAGGCTCGATGCACAAAATTCGTGCAAGGGGCTCAGCCCTCAGCAGCCACAGCGGCTGCCTTTGGCCCTTGTAGTCCTAGCTTTGTCTGGAAGGTCATCCGGAAGATCTGGTCTAATTAGCATATTACACTTTTATTATTATAGACTGCCAGTGCACGTCATATGTACTCACAGGTTGGTCAGTCAGACGTATGGACGGCCGGCCGGTCACTTAGCTTTTATATATGTAGATAAGACCAGGTGTGGCCGAAACCAGTTTGACTCAGTGGATAGAGCGTCGGTCTGTGGACTGAAAGGTCCCAGGTTCGATTCCAGTCAAGGGCATGTACATTGGTTGTGGGCACATTCCTGGTAGGGGGTGTGCAAGAGGCAGCTGGTCGATGTTTCTCTCTCATCGACGTTTCTAGCTCTCTATCTCTCTCCCTCTCTGTAAAAAAAAAATCAATAAAATATATATAAAAAAAAAAAAAGACCAGGTGTGGCACAGAAATTCCTAAAGTTGCTTTATTAGAAAGGAGATCATATTCTTGAAAATCTCAGGCCACCACTTGAATCTTTTTTTAAAATTTATATATATATATATATATGTACATTTTATTGATTTTTTTACAGAGAGGAAGGGAGAGGGATAGAGAGTTAGACACGTCGATGAGAATCATTCACCAGCTGCCTCCTGCACACCCCCCACTGGGGATGTGCATGACTGAAGGGTCCCAGGTTCATGACTGAAAGGTCCCAGGCCCTTGACTCGGAAACCAACCTGGGACCTTTCAGTCCGCAGACCGACGCTCTATCCACTGAGCCAAACTGGTTTCGGCCGCTTGAATCTTTTTAAAAAAAATGTATTTTTATTGATTTCAGAGAGGAAGAGATAGATACATCACTGATGAGAGAGAATCATTGATTGGCCCCCTCCTACACTGGGGATTGAGCCCACAACCTAAGCATATATCCTGGACCGGAATCAAACCTGGGACCCTTCAGTCTGCAGGCCAACGCTCTATCCACGGAGCCAAACTGGCCAGGGCCGCTTGAATCTTCTTAAGCATTTGTCTTTCTTTATCTTCTTCTGATCACCAGGCAGCCCCTCCCTTCTCTCCGAGCCCATGAAGACTTGCTTCGTGGGGGGCAACGTGACCCTCACCTGCCTGGTGTCTGGAGCCTACCCCTCTGCCAAGGTCCTGTGGCTGCGGAACCTCACCCAGCCCGAGGTGGTCATCCAGCCCAGCAGCCACTACGTCATCTCCCAGACGGGCCAGAGCTCCACCCTGACCGTCCGGAACTGCTCCCAGGCCCTGGATGAGGGCTACTACGTCTGCCGCGCCGAGAACCCCGTGGGGGTGAGGGAGGCGGCGACCTGGCTGAGCGTGAAAGGTGAGTGAGAGGAGAGGCGCCCAGTGCGGGAGTCTGAGCGCGTCAGCCTGGAGTGCCCCTGCGGGTGGGTCTCTGCCGTCTGGGAGAAGCAGATCTGTTTGCTTGTGGTTTGACAAGATGGATGGGAAAAATGAGGGTCCAGTCCTAAATTTCTAATATTTGCATAATGGTAACAGTGCTTAACATCTGTTATATACCCAAGGATATCTACCGATCTATTATATAAATCTATATATAATGAAAAAATATATATTTAAAATATATATTAATATGAAATGTATAAAAGTAAAAACTATAATGTAAGTGGTGAAGCATCATAGCAAAATGAACACCATCCCACCCAGGAAACTGCATCCCACTTAGGATGTAGGTCAGGGCCAGCACTGCTGGCGTCTCCGCTAGGCTTTGTGCCAGATTTAGAAAACAGCATCAAAACCAATAAGACAGGCTACACACTTAAATCTGCATTTCAGAGAACAAAGAATAACTTTAAGTGGTGTAAGCGTGTCCCCAATGTTGCACAGGGCATACTGATTCTAGAGCATTATTTGTTGTGTATCGAAATCCAGATTTAACTGGGTATCCTGTATTTTATCTTTTTTTTAAAAAACAAAACATATATTTTTATTGATTTTAGAGAGGAAAAGAGAGAAACATCAATGATGAGAAAGAGTCATTGATTGGCTGCTTCCTGCATGCCCCCTACTGGGGATGGAGCCTGTAACCCACCCATGTGCTCTTGACTGGAATTGAACCTGGGACCAGTGCTCTATCCACTGAGCCAAACCAGCCAGGGCCTGTATTTTATCTTGCAACCACGCCTGTAGGCCTTGTGTTAGTCTGATCCTGGCCTCCTAAAATAAAAACCACTATCCTGGATTTCATGTCTGACTTAAGAAAAAAAATTGTTATATATGTACACACTACTAAATATTGATAGTATTGCTGTTTATTTTTGGTTTTGAGTTTTAAAAAATGCCGGTTACCATATAAATATAGTCTTTTGTGACTTCTTTTTTCACCCTCCATTTTGTCCCAGTGTGTCTTTTCATCGCTGCATAACTTTGCTCTGTGTCATTATTACACAACTACGTACTGATTTTCCTGCTGATGGATGTTTGTGTTGTTTCTGATTTGTTTGTTTCATTTTGTTTTGATGGACAAACAGTGTTGCTATGAAAATATTTTACCAACTCCTGTGTGTAATATACACCAGGTCCCCCTGACAAATATTTCTCTAGGATATGTATAAGGAGTAGAAATGAAGGATAGCAGGTTATGTGCATGTTCTATCTTTTGGGGGCAACCAAATTACCTTCCGAAGCGATTAGATGTTTCCATTTGTCAGAGTATTTTATGAGCGTCCGTGTTCCACATTTTCACCGGGCGCTTTATGATTCTGTCCATCAGGGAGGTGTAACATGGAACCTCACTGTGGTTCTAATGTGAATTTCTCTGATTACTCAGAAGGTCGAGCATTATTTCATGTTTAGTTGCTGCTTGGATTTCTTCTATGAAATCCATACATATTTGTATCTTTTGATATATCTGACCCTTTCTTAGAGATATGAAAGCATTCTTTAGAGATTCGCATGCCAGTTCCTTGTTAGTTTTATGTTAGAGGTGTCTTCTTTCAGTTCCTTGTGGGTCCTTCTCACTTTCTTTATGGTACCCTCTGATTAGCAAACATTCTTACCTTAATGTAGATGATTCCGTGGATTTATTTTTATATCATTAGCAATTTTTATCTTAAAAATCTTTTTAACTGTCCAACCATCACATTGATAGTAAATGTCTTATTGTCTTGCCTTCCACAATTAAATCTTTAATGCTTTTTGTGAATGGTGTGAGGTCAGGACCAAGTTTTTCTTCCCCTCCCCCCTCGTTTTTGCCAGCACCCATTTCTCAAACAGTTCCTCTGTTTTCTCACTAATCTGTCATATGTCAGGTTTCCTTTTATGCGGGGGCCTGTGAAGTGTCCTTTTCTGTGTGGGCCGCTATTGGGTTCTCCGTTCTGTTTGCACTCTTAATGGCCGTGGCCTTCGGGACAGCCTTGGAGTGTGGTGGGCACAGAGATGTTCACGCTCCCATGTGCCTGTGTGCGCATGCTTCACTTGGTTCCCACACGGTCTGAGGCAGGGAGAGGAGGTACTGATCCTGCTTTACAGAGAGGTCATATGCCTCGCCCAACATCGTGAAACTGAGATAAGACAGGACCAGGATGGAGGAGGGAGGCGTGCCTGAGCTGGCTGCAGGCGTGTGTGTGTGTGTGTGTGTGTGTGTGTGTGTGTGTATGCGTGTGCGCGTGCGCGGGGGAGGGGGGGTCATCAGCAGTGTGACTGTCCTTGCAGAGCCCCTGAACATCGTGGGCATCGTGGGCACCATCGTGAGCCTCCTCCTGCTGGGCCTGGCCATCGTCTCGGGGCTCCTGCTCTATTACAGCCCCGTGCTCTGCTGGAAACGTAAGCTCTCCTCGGTCCTGCTGCTTCTCCTTTGGGCTGTTTGAAAGGGGGTGGCTGGGGGGTGGGGGTATCGGAGGCCCCTGTTAGGCTCCCCTTGGAAATCCCACCCCATAGGCTTCTTCACTGGGCCCAGATGTTCCATCAGCACCATCCCGGACACCCTGTCACCCCGGACGCCCTGTCACCCTGAACACCTGTCACCCCAACACCCTGTCACCCTGGACACCCTGTCACCCCGAACACCTGTCACCCCAACACCCTGTCACCCCAGATGCCCTGTCACCCCGGACACCCCGTTACCCCGGGCGCCCCGTCACCCCAAACACCTGTCACCCCGGACGCCCTGTCACCCTGAACGCCCTGTCACCCCGAACGCCTGTCCCCTCTCCCGTGGGCCGGCGTCCCCTGTCATTCCTTGGCCCATGGGAGAGTGAGTAAGAAGGTGGGAGCTGGAGCTGCTGGTGTTTGATAGTAACTGTGTCTCCTTCCTCCCTGCAGTGGGAAGCACTGTCAGGTGAGTGTCCCCGAGCCCATGTCCAGCACCGTGTCCGGGATCTGCCTTCACTGCGGCTTCCTTTTGTCAGAACCAGAGCAGCTACTCCCGCTGAGGCCAGCCGGGCCGGCCCGGGGCTGGGCCTCCCCCGTTATTGACAAACTCCTCCAGAACCCCTGCGGTGCAGGCGCATCTCCGCCTCCCGGACAGGGAGCAGAGCCCGGGGATGTCCGCAGCCTCCCCGGGGAGGAACGGCCTGGCCTGGCCTGGCCTGGCCGCTCCAAAGTCTGTTCCTCTTCCAGCGGGGCCGGGCCGGGCGGCGCTGAGGCAGAGTCAGTGTGTGCGTCAGCCAGTCACCCACACTCCCCTCCCCGGCTCTCCCAGGAGCGGACGGATGAGTGAGCCGTGTCCACAGCGGCTTTGGGAGGACTAGTCTGAGCGCCGTGGGGCCCCTCCCGGGAGGGCACCCAGGAGGGCACCCAGGAGGGACCGGGCACCCAAACGGAACTGCACTTTGTTCCGGGAGGTTTGGGCGGAGCAGAGGACCTTTGTTTCTCTTTCCCCCTGAACAGCCTGGCATGGTCTTCTCAGCCCACCATTCTTCCTGAGGAGATATTATTGTTTGGGGACTTTTCCCCCGTGGGACAATGTTAGCTTTGCTGCCTGTGTGTGAGGACCCTTCCTCCCCCCAGGGGGCCTGTCATCCCAGGTTTCCTGCTCACAGGACGAGCAGTGAGGCTCAGTGGGAAAAGGCGTTGGAGTCAGCCGGCCTAGGTTCAAATCCAGCTCTGCCCTCGCCAAGCCCTGTGCAGGGCAAGCCCCCGCCTTCCCGCTGTGGCCTGTGTCCTGGGGGGAGGCCCGGGATTAAGTAGGAGGTGATGCTCCCAGGCCTGTCCCTGGCCTGTGGCACGTGCTTTTCTTTCCTAAAGAAACGCCCAGTCCGACTGGGGAGGCACCACCAGCAGCAAACCAAGAGCGATTACACGCTCCACCCCCTGGGCAAGGACTCCCAGTGGGATCGTAGCTCAGGACGGACTTCAGGGGGCAGGGGGGAGACATTTACGGGGCCCTAACTAACGAGGCGGGGAGACCTCAGTGAGTGGAGCGGAAATAAGGGCCCTTCGGGAGGAACAGAGCTTTGGAGTGTGTGCTGGGAGGGCAGTAGAATGGAGGAGCCTGGGACCATGAGGTCACCGTCCCCAGGGCAGGGGAGGATGACAAACCCGCCCAGAGAGCAAAGGTTATCTGTTCCCACCTGAGGCTGGGCTTCCTGGGAAGTTACAGTCCCACTGTCACCTCGTGACGTCACCCAGTTAAACGCCAGGCGAATCTCCCATGTGACCTGGGGGGCGGCCAAGATCTTACCCAGGGTTTCCTGGTCAGCGGACACAGAGCGTCTCCTGACCCTGTCTCTCTCTCCCTTTGGCGGTTAGGGGGCAAGACATGGGCGACATCATGGTTCTGGTGGATGAGGAAGAAGAGGCGGAGGAGGAAGAAAATGCTGCGGAGGAGGAGGAGGAGGAGGAGGGAGAAGAGGAGGAGGAGGCAGCCAGCGAGAGGGAGGCGTTCCCAAAGGAAATACACAAGCATGGCCACATCCACAGGGTGACCGCCCTGGTGAACGGCAACCTGGACTGGATGGCCAGCGGGCTGCCGCCTCTGCAGAGTGAGTGTTCTCCCCGCGCGTTCCCGCTGAGCTGGGGGGGAGGGGGGCGCGGAGACCTCTGCTGGGGTCTTTGGAGAAGACGTTAAAGTTTAAGCTGAGAATCCATCACCACCTACCAGTGCACCAATTTAACTGGTCAGCGTTTACCAGCGCAGCTCTGGGAAAGGCCCGGCATGGTGCGGAAGGAGAATAGAAAAGGAAGGCCAGCTAAGACCGGTTTGGCTCAGTGGATAGAGCGTCGGCCTGCGGACTGAAAGGTCCCGGGTTCGATTCCGGTCAAAGGGCATGTACCTTGGTTGCGGGCACATCCCCAGTGGGGGTTGTGCAAGAGGCAGCTGATTGGTGACTCTCTCTCATCGATGTTTCTAACTCTCTATCCCTCTCTCTTCCTCTCTGTAAAAAATCAATAAAATATATTAAAAAATAAAAATAAAAAAAGAAAAGAAAAGGAAGGCCAGCCCTGTCTGCGGACAGAGTAAAACATGGGGACAATGCAAACAGAGGCAAGACTTACCCAGCGCTCTGAGGGAGCTGTCTCGGAGGAATTGGGTTGATTGCCCGATGAATGACTTGCTTACCAGGCCCTCTTACCAGACAGACAAGAGCTTGGAGGGTTCTGTGGTCAGGAGAGGCCGGATGGAAGAGGTGGGCTCGGAGGCAGGCCTCAGGCTAGTCACTGGAATAAGCTAGAAGGAGAAAGGGCGCCCGGGTGCGGGGAGTCCGGGAGCCCTGGGCATGAAGGGTGGACAGGGTCGAGCACGTCTCAGGATGTTGACGGGAGGAGCAGGTGGAACGGGAGGAACACGCAGCCCCCCACCTGCTCCTGCAGGACACCGGCTCTGAGGCTCTCAGGGAGGGCCCGGGATGGAGGTTTTTGAAGGCGGATGGGAACAGGGTCACCCCTATTGAGATCATCCCGAACCTGGTCTCCTTCTCCCTCCAGATGAGAGCAGCGAGCAGCAGAGTGAGCTGGTCCGTGAGGAAGACAGGCCGGTGTGAGCCAGAGAGCCGCCCTCCTGTCGGGCCCGGTGAGCTGGGAGCCTCACGGAAGATGAGCTTTTCCTTCTGCTTTGACCTGAACCCCTGCCTGAGGGTTTAAACTGGGCTCTCAGCGAACACACATACACACACACACACACACAAATACACACAAACACACACACAAACACACACAAATACACACATACAAATATACACACACACAAATACGCACACGCACAAATACACACATACACACACACACACACACACCTCTGTCCGTTTTCTAACAAGCCGGTTTGATTTGCTGTAACTCTTCTCAGTGATGCTAGAAAACGTTGGGAACAGGGGCGGTGTGTGTGGGAAAGCTGCCTTTGGCACCAGAGGTGCCCTTTCTGCGGTGACTCCTGGCTTTATCCGGGTCCACGGATGCCGATCTGGGGGGAGCAGGCGTGTGAGGAGGACCTTGGCCGCCATGCCCTGGCCACCAGTGAAGTCTGTGACCAGCTTACCTCAGCGCACAGGGCATGGTGTGGGGGAAGGGACACTTCCTGGACCCCTGCCCAGGTGAGCCAAGGAGCCAGATAAAGGCCAGCTCCCTGGAAAAGGTGAGGAGGGTCAGCTACTGAGGCTGGTCCGAGGGAGGCAGCTTGGGTGGGGCAGTGTGAGTCAGGATCACCCAGGACTGAGTCTGGGCTCCATGTTTCATGGGCTTGGGTAGGTTGCTTTGCCTCTGCCCTGGGCCTCCATGTCCTCATCTGTGAAATGGGTGAACTCACCTGTCGTACAGGGGCGTGGTGAGGACTCTGGACGTGAATGTGCCTAAAAGGTGCTCAAGAGATGCTCGCTGTCCTCCTCTGCCTTCCCCCGTGGAGGAAAACCACGTCAGCTGCCAGGTGCAAGTTCCCACCTGGACCCGCCATTCTTCTTTGTGGGATGGTTTCGGGCGAGGGCTTTATCGGAGCTCTCCTGACCACGTCTGCTTCCCTGGAAAGAGAATTATTTTCAGAAGAGGCAGGGGCCCAGAAGAAAAAGTGCCTTTTCATCAGAACCTCACATTTTGCAAAGCTTCGTATTCATACCAGAGCTTCTTACACGACACTGTCAGCTTTCGGCCTTCCCCATCCTTCCTTTCTCCCGGGACTTTGCGAGAAAGCAGGAGACGTGTTTTAAAAGGGAGTAGCTGGTGGGCGGTCCTCCTTGGGCAGACCAGCTCCTCCGGCCGTGGAGGGAGAGCTGGTTCCCATCTTCTCTTTGATGATGTTGTGAAGATGCACTGATGGACGATGCCGAGTTTCTAACGAAACCATCGTATGCTGGGTTTAAGCGCTAATGCTTCCAGTAGAGCCTGTATAGTTTAGAGGTATCCCCCCACCTCCCCCCATTTCACCCAGATCTCTTTAAAAAATGTCCGGGGCCTTATAAAGGTGCAAAGAGTGTGTGCTAAGTATAAAACTCTGACTTGAATTTGCATTCTTGAATGTTGCACATTCTGCTCCGATGGGCAAGACCTGGAGCTTAAAGGAGAACATCCCTTCTCCAGGAGCGGACTGGGACTGGTACAGTGAGACACTGGTTACCCGCAGGTGTGCTTGGGGCTGGTCCGTTTTCTTGAAGCGACTAAACAAAGCAAGTCCCTAGAAGCTCAGAACACTGGGCAGCTCAGGCGCTGGCTGCACATGTGTACCCCCAGACTGGCCGTGACCTCTGCAGTCTTGTCTGGCTGGGCCTTTTGCCTCGTGTATGTAACCACCCTCATCGGTCTGAGTTAGTGCCATTCACAGAACAGGACACCAGACAGGTTGTTCCTACAGTCACTGAACACCGAGCTGGACGCTTTAGATGAATTCCAGTTTTTTGGTTTTTTTTTAAGTTCCATTTCTGAATCTAGGTGTCTATTAGGCAGAGGCAACAACATTTTTTAAAAAGAAAAGAAACTGTGGTAAAAAAAAAAAAATTAAAAAAAAATTCCCTCGCTGGGAACACGGGTGATTTTTCAAGATCACGGACATGTCTCTGCTATGTCCTCTTCTCTCGCACCCGTACCTGGGAGGTAGCAAAATCTTCGAGGCGGAATTTCTCCACTAGCAAATGGGAGCTTCCAGATCTGGGTGCCAAACACTATAAACCCTTGGCTAAGGGAGCTGGGACTGACTGCTCCCTGGCATCTGGGCCCTGTGTGCACATTACGGCTGGGTCAGTTACACACCCTGGTCCTGGGGGATCTTCACATTTTAAGGATTTTTAAAGAATTAGGGCTTCCTTTTTTTTTTTTTTTTTTTTTTTTTTTTTTTTTTAAGATGGCCCATTTCCCAATGAGCAGGTCACTAGGAGTGAGTGACCATCCACAGGCCTGCTGTCCACGGTGACGGACTTGGTGTGGCAGAGTCCACGCTGTCACCTCATGCTGTGTGTGACGTGCATTCTTATCTGGATGCGTTGTAAGCTCGGAGACCAGGTCTCCTTGTCAAAACCAGGAAGACAAAGCGTTCAGGGCTATCACAACTGACACTTTTTTTTTATATATATATATATATTTTATTGATTTTTTACAGAGAGGAAGGGAGAGAGATAGAGAGCTAGAAACGTCGGAGAGAAACATCGACCAGCTGCCTCTTGCACACCCCCCTACTGGGGATGTGCCTGCAACTTGGGTACATGTCCTTGACCAGAAATCGAACCCGGGACCCTTCAGTCCGCAGGCCAACGCTCCACCACTGAGCCAAACCGGTTTCGGCACAACTGACATTTCTTTTTCTCAAAACCTGGTGGGCATTGGGGAAAGGGCTCCTGCAGGCTTATGGCTTTGATATGAGCCCCGGTTCTCCTGAGCACAGCCGGGCCCTGTTCCCGCAGCAGGAAGGCACATGGTGGGAATTTTCCACAGCCCGTGCACTGCAACCCGGGGCAGCCTCCTGGCTGGGTCAAAGCGATGGTGATGCAATAAGTGCCAACCCGTACTTCTCACCGTGGGGCTGGCGGGGATCTGCTGCAAAGAAAAATAAGCAGATGGTCTGCATTCTTTACATTTTAATATTTGATGGGGGGAGGTGGGTTGGGAGAAATTCATCCTGAGGTTATAATGGATTTTTTTTAAAAAAAGATTATGGAATAAAGTTATTTTTAAATAAAAGCTTCAGTGGACTTGATTGAGACTTGATTAGTAACCCGGAAGATGTGGGGAAATGGGTTTACCTCCCCCAGTTTTTTACCGGCTTTCCCACTGTGGGTGACCATATTGTTCTCGTTTCCATTTTATTCTCCATGGCTTGTAGGTACTACCCACCCTCTAAACCTACCGAGACACCCTCACCTTTTTAAACTGTCCCTGAAAAATTTGTTCTTTCCCCCCTCCCTACCTCTGCCTCTCTGCTCAGACCGCAGGCTGTCTAAAGAGCTAGAAGTCACCGTGGAAAACAGACCTGATGGGCCGCTTGACAGCACAGTTCACATCAGCCTCCGGGTCCCATGGTCCCCGTGGTGATGGCTTTGGAAATGGTCACCTGGGCCCAGCTCGCTGCAGCCCCAACAATGTCACCCCACCTTCCAGCTGAGGCCCCCAATTCCGTCCCCTTGCCCTGTGCCAGGCCTTCCCTCTTAGGCCCCCCCGCCCCCTTTTCTACACTCCACTCCCAGCTCCCTGGCTCCAGCACAGCTGCCCCTTTATGAATGGATTTCCTCCCAACCGAACCCGCCTTTCCTACCTTCACCCGCCCCCGCGGGGGTCTGCTTCCCACCCGGGCCTCCTGTTGGTGTGTCCCTGAACCCCCATTGACTGGGGGCGCACACAGCTCAGCCCCCAGGCCCCCCCACGTTCCCGCGGCGGCTCCGGTGCTGGCCCCGCACCCCCAGGCCCCGCTCTCTGGCCGCTGCCCCTGCGCCCGCCCACGTCAACCTCGGCTCTTCCATGGGTCACGGCTCTTCTGATTCTGCTTCCCATTTTCTAAACCTTTTATTTGATTTTAAATCTTTAATGAAAGTATTACATAGGTCCCCCCATTAACCTTTCCAGCCCCTTCCCGCCCTCACCGCGCACGGCCCGAGTCCTCCCCGTGTCCGCGGTCTGGTTCCCTTCCCCGACCCCCGCGGGCTCCTCGGATCTCCAGCCTCAGCGGCAGCCCCCGCAACCCCGCGGGGACCCCCCGCCGCCCCCGTCTCTCCTCAGGCCGCGCATTGACCCCCAATCCCTGCTCCCCCGCGGCTCCGGATCCATTTTTATCCGTTTCCTTCCTAGTCGCAGCACAGTTCACATCAGCCTCCGGGTCCCATGGTCCCCTGTGAATGGCACTAACTCAGACCGATTGGGCATGTTCCCAAGTTCCCCCCTCCCCGGGGTTCCCCAGCCCCAGCTCCCCCAGTTTTCTCCTCCTAACCCCTCCCTCAGCCCGGCTCCCTGCCGCGCCCCACTTCTCTACCCAGATCTTCTTACCCATCCCCCCCACCCCCCGTATTACTGCCCGGCCTCCCCCACCGGTTCCCCTCCGCTCAGTCCCTGACCCCCTCGGGCTTTACCCTCCCCACCTGCTCCGCTCCCCCATTTTCACCGGTTGGCGGCCTCCTGAGCCTCCTCACGTTTTCCCTCAGCTCCACTCCCGCCCCCCGTTTCCCTCGCTCTCCCCATGTCCCCCCATTCCTGCAGCGCCACTTCCCCCATTTTCCCCGCAGCCCTGACCCTCCCTCGCCCCTCCCCGCCGAGTTCCCCTCAGCTCCCATTGGTCCCGCCCGCCCTCCGCGCCCCGCCCTCTGCGCCCCGCCCAGGCCCCGCTCCCCGACAACCCCCGCCCCACCCCCGATCCGGCCCCGCCCTCCTCGCCCAAGCCCCGCCCCCGCTCCGGCCCCGGCCCTCGCGCCGCCACGTGACGGGAAGCAGCTGATGGCCTCTCCGGGCTGCGGCGGGCTCGGCGGGGCCGGGGCCGGGGCCGGGGCGGGGGCCGGAGGAACGGGGGCCGGGGCCGGGGCGGGGGCCGGGGCGGGAGCCAGGGCGGAGGCCGCGGCGGGGGCGGCGGCGGCGGAATGAGGGCCCGCGGCCCGGGGGGCTGAGGCGCTGCCTGCCGCGGCCGCGCGTCCTCCATGGAGGCCGGAGGTGAGTGGGGCCGCGGCCCGGCCGGGCTCGGGGCGGTGCGGGCTCGGCCGCCGAGGGGCCGCGGGGGCGCCGCCGGGCCGGGCGGCGGGGCGGGGCGCGGGGTGCGCGGCGCCCAGCTTTGTTTCACTTTCGCTGTCAGCGCAGCCGGCGGGACCGGGAGGACGGGCCTCGCGCGCCGGGGACCCCCACCCCGCTCAGCAGGGTCCCGGGTGGGACGTGGACACGCCAAGCCCTCCCGGTGATGCCCGAGCGGTGGCTGCCGGGTGCCGCACGCTGCTCCTTACGCGCTGTGCGGTGGGGGACCCCCTGACCCCCCAAGTGTCAGCTTTACATTCTCAAAATGAATAGAAAAATGCCTGCCTCCGTGGGCGGTTGGGAGCTTCCCAAACTTGCCTACTCGTAAACATGGGGTCTGGGGTCCTTATTTAAAAAACAAAAGTAAATGTAAGTCACATATAAAACATATGTGTAACATGTAACGTTTATATTCCGAGCCTTTCCCGGTGAAGAGGGGCTCGGGGGGCCGCGGGGGGGGCAGGGGTGCGGGTCCCCGGTGCGTGTGTGGCGGGTTGAGTGTAGGAGCCCGATGGGTGAGGTCCGCTTGCCTCCGCCCGTGCCGGCAGCTGTCATCGGAGGCCAGTGTGGACCCGGGGAGCAGGCTGCGCCCCGGCCGCCCATGAACTTGTCACCTCCGTGGGGAGGGTGTCCCTGTGCAAAGGCCAAACCTCCAGGCGTTCCCCTCGTTCTCCTCCCACCTGGCCCCGCCCCCCCCCCCCCCCCGTGTGAAAACTGGGTGTGTGCTGGGGATTTATTGTGGGAGTCCCCACTCTCCCGTGCACCCCCATTCTTTCTTCTAGCAGCTCCCAGAGCAGCAGTTCTAAGGGGTCCGGGCCTGGGGCTCAGCTTGTGTTCCAGAACCTCATTGTGTTCTCCCTCCAGCGAAGTTCGCTTCCTCCCGCCCTGGCGGGTTCTGAGGTGGCCGCCCTGTCTGACGGGGCCGGGGCTGTGGGTGGGAGGCTGGAACCCCAGGGGATACCCTGGGGCGGTGTAACTTCTTTAACTTGGGAAGTGACATTTCTTTGTTTGCCGGAGCCGGGCATTCAGTGGGAGGTGTAGAGGCAGCTCTCTGCCTTCCCGTGGAGATAAGGGCTTTCTCTCAGAGCCTGCTACCCACGGGACGCTATAAATGGCCTCACTGTTCGCCTGAATCTTACCTGAATCTTTTCAGAGCTTCCGCTGTCATTTCCACTGACCCCTGAATGGTTAAATCTGAAAGTGATCTGGGGCTAGCCTGTCCTTTTAGCAAGAATCTGTTTCCAGTTCTGGGTTTTTCCTAATGATGGACCTCTGTGTTTGGGGGTGTGAGCAGAGCTGTTGAGAGCTGCCAAGATACTGTTAAAAAAAAAGAGAGAGAGAGAGAGAAAAAAGAAAAGCCTGAGAGTTTTGCATTCTTTGAAACTGAATAAAGCCTCTTGTAATGGGGTTACAATGGACTAGAGCTGGTATCTTCAGAGCAGTGGTTGGAGTTCATTTATTCATTCAACAAATATTTGTGCAGTACCTGCTCTGTGCTAGCACTGGCCGATAGAATGAAGTGTGAGTCACATATATAATTTAAAATGTTCCAGTAGCTGCATAAAAAAGTGAAACAGGTGAAATTAATTTTAGAACTCTATCTTTGTCAGTCCAACATGTCTAAAACGTCATTTCGATATGTTATCATGATTAATATATTTTAGATTTTTTTGTGTGTGTGTGTTAAGACTTCACGATAAGATGTATATTATATACATAATCTTGGTTTGGACTTGTCACCTGTTAATTGGTCCGTAGCCAGGTGTGGCTAGCGGTTACTGTATTGGACAGCACAGCCCGATAGCGGTGAACAGATAAGTTTGGGCTGGGGTGGGGAAAAGATGGACAATAAATACATAAAAATGACAAGTGCCATCAAGAAAAGATAGATGAAGGATAGTTATGAAGAAAATTGAGTGAGAGGAAAGTGACTGGGTCAGTTTATTTTAAAAAAAATATATTATTGATTTTGGAGAGGAAGGGACAGAGGGAGAGATTGAGAAAGAGAAAGAAGAGAAACATCAGTGATGAGAGAGAATCATTGATTGGCTGCTTCCTGCGAACCCCACACTGGGCTTTGAACCCACATCTCGGGCGTGTGCCCTAACCAGGAATTGAACCAAGACCTCCTGGTCCATAGCTCGACACTCAACTACTGAGCCACACGGGCCGGGCTTAACTGGGCCACCTTAGATTGTGAGGCCAGGAAGGCTTCTGAGAAGGCGACATCACCCAGCCCTGAAGGGTGAGATGGAACAGCAGGCAGTGTTTCCCAGGCCCGTGGTCTGCAAGCTGCGGCTCGCAAGCCACATGCGGCTCTTTGGCCCCTTAAGTATGGCTCTTCCACAAAATACCATGTGTGGGCACGCACGCACAGTGCGATTGAAACTTAGTGGCTCATGGTTTTCGGCTAGCCACACTCAAGGGGCCAAAGAGCTGCATGTGGCTCTCCAGCCGAGGTTTGCCGACCACTAATCTAATGTGATGCTCCTGAGGCACGACAAATTGCCTTGCTTTCTGCTGCCTGGAGTCATTGCTTCCATCTCCGTGTTAAGGCAATCTCCTTTCACAGACAAGGCCCATCATAAATATCTTTCCGTTCAGCCTGTGTCCACACCCATCCCAGGGTTTAATTAGAAAACCCTGATCTTTTCCCCAAGAAGGGCCACGGCAGGTGCAATCCCAGATGAAGCTGGATCCCCTGGGCGCGGGTTTGTTAGCTCTGCACTAATTACGGCTTTCTTTCCCAGCAGCCAATGGGAGTTGGGGCCCAGACTCCCCCTTCAGAATTTCCTTCGTTCTAGAATTGAAGAAGAGACAGGAGTCACTGGGTTCTTTCTTCTTTTAGCTCCTGGATTCCTGAGCCTAAAATAGCAAGAATTAAATCCTCAAATCACAGAAATAGAGTGTGAAATCTGGGAATGGCTCATGTTTAAGAAGCATTTCATGTGAAATGTTTGGCACAGGCATCATAATAGTTTAGGGGCATCATTTTATTTATATTTAAGGAGGTATATCATGTATATTTGTTCAACAAATATTTACTGCCTGCCTGTTCTCTGCCAGGAACTCTGCCAGGAACTGGGGATACACACAAGGTCCTTGTTCCCATGCAGTTGATGTCCTAGTCGGGGAAGATAGTTAATAATCAAATTAGTGATTGTGCTGTAAAGAAGTGAGAAGCCCTCGCCGGTTTTGCTCAGTGGATAGAGCATTGGCCTGTGGACAAGGGTCCCAGGTTCGATTCCAGTCAAGGGCACATGCCCTGGTTGCAGGCATGACCCCCAGCAGGGGGTGTGCAAGAGGCAGCCGATCAATGATTCTCATCAGTGCTAGCTCTCTTTCCCTCTCCCTTCCTCTCTGAAATAATAATAATAATAATAATAATAATAATAATAGAATTCTAAAAAAAAAAAGAAAGAAAAGTGAGAGGTTGTGAAGGAGACTGTCTTGGGAGGCCAGAGAAGGCCTCTCTAAGGAGCTACCATTTAAGCTGAGACCTAAATGAGATACCAGCCACGGAGGCATTCCTGTGGATGAGAGTAGCTGGTGCAAAGGCCCTGGGGTTGGAACTAATGGAGCCCCAAGAGGGTGTGAGAGAAGGCTAGTTAGTATGCTAGAGCCAGGAGCAAGAGGAGAGCTCTAAGCCCAGGTGGGAAACAAGGCAGGGCCAGTTTCTGCAGGACTCTTAGGGTAGGGTGAGGAGTTTGTATTTCATTCTAAGAGAGGTTGAAGCGGATTACCTTGGAAGGTGAGGAGAATGGATGGCAGGGGCTAGGAGAGCAGTTGGAAGGCTGCTTAGTGAGAGATGATGATGTTGCATAGATTAGAATAGTAGCCATGGAGATGAAGGGAAGTTATAATAGGTTTGCCAAGTCTCTTGGAAACAGATTTGATAGAACTTGCTAATGGATTTGGATTGGGAGGTGAAGAAAAGAGAAAATTCAAGGATGACCCCTTTTCATATTATGTAGAGCCTCTGTATGTTTTAAATCCGAAACAGAGCTCTTAATGTTATGCAGCAATCCTGCAACAGCTCCCTTTTTAAAAGAAAAAAAAACCATACAGGATGGCTGATGTGCATATGGAGGAAGTGAACCCTGTGCAAATATAGTCCGGGTGGAATAATGAGATTTGTCCTTGTCATTTAGTGTTGTGTACATACGGGGTCTCGGCCTCGGCACTGCTGACATTTTGGGCTGGAAAATTCTTCATGTGGGGGCTGACCTCTGCATTGTAGGATGCTTAGCAGCACCCATGGCCCCACCCATTACATAGCAGTACCCCCCCTCCTCCCCCAGTTATAACAACAGAAGTGGCTCCAGACATTGCCACGTGTCCGGGGTGTGTGTGTGTATGTGTGTGTGTGTAAAATTACCCCCGTTGAGACCTCCTGGGCTACATGTAGGAGGCTCTAACAGGTTAGGGCTGTGGCACCGTAAGGAAGTATCTGGAAGGAGCTGTTGCAGGGTTGCTGCATAACATTAGAGATCTGCTTCGGATTTAAAACACACAGTAAAACATTCTTGTCCTTTAACACTCACATCCGGAGGAATATGCTTCTACAGAAAAATGATGATATAAATGAATGTATACGAACACAAATTTCTAGGAGGAATTGCTGGGGCCTGTATGAACACTGGTTTGGATTTAATGTTTTAAAACCTAGATTTACATACAGAACCTCAGGAGATGAATATAAAGGAAACTTCCTTAAATAGCAAAGCCACTAAAGCCCTGATATGATTATATGCACTTATATATGCACCTTTACCATCTGTTTCATTGAGTCCAAGATATGCATCATATCAGCCTGTGTGTCACTGAGAAAAAAGACCCTGCCTTATACCCCTGACTTCATGGCAGTCACAGTGTGAGAAGACACATAAAGATGTGTCCTAGACTCTATAAACTATGGGTGTTAAATTAGTTTCTATCTGGTAACAGCTATAAAAGGGTCAAAGTCTCAGGACTGTTCAAGTGGAACATACACATCAAGAAGTGACCTCATGCAGGAGGGAAGCCAGTCATTATATTAGTATGTGTCACCGTTACACATCATCGTGGTCAGAAAATCTATTCCGAGGGCCTTTACCTTACGAGCTTCACCAGCCACTGAGCCTTCCCATGGAGAGGGGATGTAACCGGGGACTGCCCTCCCGTCACTGGCTCCCCACAAGGTGCTGGACTAGGCCCACAGACACAGAGATGAACTCGTCTTGCTCTTTTCGAACAAAGATGCTTACATTCTGAGGGGGAGGGGAAGGGGAATTGGCTATTACAGGAGAGAAGAAATAAGCAGAGGGGGACTTATTTCTGCTCTGATCATGTGAGATCAGGGTTTGCTTCCCACTTATTAATCTAGATGGGATTCTTCAAAGCAGAAAAGGAGTCCAGCTGTGAAGGAGCATGAGCTACTCAGGGTTTGAGTCTGGTCTAAGCAAGAGGAAGCAGGGCAAGGGCTGAACATTATATTTCAGTCTTGATGGTGGGGGGGTGGGAGTGAGTTTCAGATAACCCTTTTCTCCCAGGAGCCGGTTCTTTTGAAGAGAATTTAAATACATTTGAAAGCCGCCTAATCTGCCCCATCTAGCTCAGCCTTGCCCAGTCTAGTCCTGATCTGGCCCTCTCCTGTCTTCCTCTTCAGGCGTTCATGGGAAAGGAGGCCTCTGGTCACTGGGGTTACCCTCCCAAAGGTTACTGAGTCATGGTTAACCAACAGAGGGGCGTGCCAGAGCTGAGTAACGGCGCTGGAATGTGGCCTTTGGCCACTGTTACTGCCCCGGTCACTTAAGGGACAGTTCCCTCCCAGAGCCTGCCCCAGCCTGGTGAGACAGTGGCTCTCGTGGCGAGACAGTGGCTCTCGGCTCTGAGTCAGGGAGGTGAGGAGGGCAGTGAGAGTGCGTGTCTGAAGCATGCTCTCTCCGGTCCCAGAGGAACCGCTGCTGCTGGCCGAACTCAAGCCCGGGCGCCCCCACCAGTTCGATTGGAAGTCGAGCTGTGAAACCTGGAGTGTCGCCTTCTCCCCAGACGGCTCCTGGTTCGCGTGGTCTCAAGGACACTGCATCGTCAAGCTGATCCCCTGGCCGCTGGAGGAGCAGTTGTAAGTACTCTGGCAGCCCGAGTGCCGAGGAACGTGAGCGCTTAATTCAAACTGCTGCCCGCCCTGGGTCTCCCTGCCCGGAGCAGGAGAGGGGACACGGCGGGACAGCTGGGGAGCCCCTCATCGGGCTCCAGAGCCCCACATGCAGGACGTGGGAAAACCGATTCCATCGAGATTATGTCAGCCCCCAGTTTTTAAAAACAGATTCACTGAGCTATAATTTACCCACCATACAGTTTGCCCATTTAGAGTGTATCTATCACCATGGTTAATCTTAGAACATTCTCATTACTCATAAAAGAAACCCCATATCCCTAAGCTGGCACCCTCCAAACCCCTCTACTCATCAGCCCTGAGTAGCCACTAATCTCCTTCCTGTTGTCATAGGTTTGCCTATTCTGAACATTTCATATCCATCAGTTAACACGTAGACATTTTTGATTGGCTTCGTTCACAACATAATGTTTTCAGTCATTTATGAGGATGCATGTATCAGTGCTTTATTTTCTGTCATTGCCAAATACTCCATTGTATGGAGAGAACCACGTGTTGTTTATACATTTATCCATTGGTGGACCTTTGGGTTGTTTTCTCCTCTGACTTTTATGAAGAATGCTGCTGTGAACATTGCTTACAAGTCTCTGTGTGGACACATTGTTCCCAGAAAGGGGACCTGGCCCTTGGCGGTTCTCGGCGCAGGACAGATTTCACAGACGAGCCCGGGTGACTGCGGGAACATTTGGTAAAGCTGGGGTCGTGACACAGGAAAGGACTCAGCACTGAGGAAGCAGCAGGAGAGCCTTGCGGGGCTGCCTAGCTCCGGGGAAAGTCAGCGGAAGGCACCTTGGGACCAGGCTTAGGGGACTAGCCTCTGACGACTGAGCTGCCACTGCCCATTGCTCCTCAGGTGCAAGTCTTGTGGGTTCTTTGGGGTGTAGGAGAGGCTCCTGGGGGGAAGAAGAGGAGGAAGAAGGGGAAGGGAATGGCAGGGGTGCTCCTAGACCAGCGGTCGCCAACTTTTCGGACCTCACGGACCACCAGTGCTCCATGGACCACTGGTTGGCGACCACGTCCCTAGGCCAAGAGCACGCCCTGGTCCTTTGTCTTGAGACTTTATCTCTTTCTCAAAGGCGGGAAGGTCTCGGGCTGGTCTCTACAGAATACTCATCCGTCTTCTAGGTGTGCCATCTGGGTTCCTGGTCTTGACTGATTGGTCCGTGTTAGGGCTGGGGGTTGTCAGTCACCGTGGCTGGTCCTGGTGTCGCCCACCTGGTTTTGCTGCTTTTCTTGGTCTGGAGCTGAAATACAGCTGAGGCCTAGACGTTATTTCTATGAAGGTGACCTTCTGTATGTACTGTAAATTGCTTTGCTAGTTTGTTCAGCTAACTATTCTGTTTGTCCTGGCTTACTGGCCTGTCTCAATACGATTTTATATGTTTTCTGTGTTTAACTGTTTGAGGAGCTATCAGATTTTTTCAAAGTGGCTGTTCCATTTTACAGTCCCACCAGTTAAAAAGTTTTTCACACCCTCCCCAACACTTGCTATTGCCAGTCTTTTTTATTATAGCATAGCCATCCTGGTTGGTACGAAATGGCATCTTATTGTGGTTCGATTTGCATTTCCTTGATGGGTACTGATGTTGAGCATCTTTTCATGTGCTTATTGGCCCTTTGTATATCTGCTTTGGAGAATTGTCTCTTCAGATCCTCTGCCATTTTAAAATCGGGTATTATCTTTTCATTATCTACCACGTTTAGTTTCTGATCTTTTTCGTTCTTTGGGCTGGACAGGTCCCAGTGTCAGAAAGCTGTGAGCCCCCAGGCAGGTGGCCCAGCATTGGCATTTTTTCATTTGTCCCAGGGTAACTCTGCATTTATGTATTCAGCCAACATTGGTTGCAAATCTTCTTTGCCTAAAACTGAGGTAGGGGTGAGAATCCTAAATAAATCAAACACAGGCTGTGCCCTTAAGAGTTTCATTTGTTTTGCTTTAGGCATTTCTTATAAATTGTCTATTAGATTTAAGTCTTTTAGAAGTTTAGTCTGAAATATGTTGCCTTGATCATAGGTAAAGCTGATGAGAGTTTGCTGAGATTGGTACTCTGTATACTGTTGGGGTCAAGGGGATAAATTTGTGCACTTTCTGGAAGGAAGTCTATTTGACAATAGACTTCAAAGACCTTAAAAATGTCCTTCCAGTGATTAGAATTCTCAGAAATGGGCTCATCTACAATATTTACATGCACTATTTTCATCATAAAATTAATTATGCAGTAGTTAAAAATCAGAAATAGCTACAAATTGGGTGATGAGAGAATGGTTAAAGACATTGTGGCATCTATATATATAAAACCCTAATATGCAAATAGGCCGAATGATGGAACAGTCAAACAACTGGTCAGTATCACATGCACTGACCACAGAACATGGTGGGGGTTGGCATCTGGTGGCCAAGTGGGGAACATGGTGGGTGTCAACCATGGTGGGATGGTGAAGCAGGTGAGCAGGGGCACCAGACCAAGGCAGGGCGCCAGGCAAGCCTTTGGTGGTTACTGAAAATTCTTGCTCCCATGCATTGTGGTCCTGCCTGGAATTGCTGCCAGCACCAGAGCCACTGCTCACAACCACTGCTGGCACCGGACTCTGGTCCGATCACTCCGGGCCGTCAGTGGGTGTGAGCGGCTGCTGCCAGCCCCAGTCGCCCCTCAGGGCTTCTCCACCTCCCTCTGCTCCTGAGGGGCCATCAAGGCAGCAGCTGCCACTTGCACTCACCAACGGGAGCAGCGGCTGTGGTAGCAGGGCTGCCAGCAGACAGGAGACGGGGGGCTGTGGCAGGAGGGGCCAGGTGGGGGAACAAAGGATGGGCCACGCTGTGCCCACCACAGCTTCGCATCCCAGAGTTCTTTTCAAGGTACTCAAATTCGTGCACTGGGCCCCTAGTTTTTATATATTTTAGCAGCTGTCAAAGATTGTGTGTATTTTTTTTAAATAAATCTTTATTGTTGAAAGTATTACATATGTTCCTTTTCCCCCCCATTGCCCTCCCACCCACCTCTCCCCCAAGCCTTTACCACTCTGTTGTCTGTGTCTCTGGGTTATGCATATGTGCATATGAGTTCATTGCTTTCTCTTACCCCCTCCACCCTCCCGTGCCTTCTCTCTGAGGTTTGAATCTGTTTGATGCTTCTATGTCTCTGAGTCTATTTTTGTTTATTGTTTAATAAGTGGGCATTCTTGTTATTTTATTGATGGTCCATTTGTTGTGCAGAGGCTCTTTATTTTGATGTAGTCCCATTTGTTTATTTTCTCCTTAATTTCCATTGTCCTAGGAGATATACCCGTAAACATTGCTATAAGAGATGTCTGAGATTTTGCTGCCTATGTTTTTTCTAGGGTTTTTATGGTTTCACATCTAACTGGTCTTTTACCCAGTTTAAATTTATTTTGGTGTATGGTGTAAGTTGGTGATCTAATTTCATTTTTTTGCATGTATCTGTCCAATTTTCCCAACACCATTTATTGAAGAGACTAACTTGACTCCTTTTGTCAAATATTAATTGAGCATAATGACTTGGGTCAATTGCTGGGTTCTGTGTTCTGTTCCATTGGTCTATATACCTGTTCTTATGCCAGTACCAGGCTGTTTTGAGTTAGGTGGCTTTGTAGTATAACTTGAAATTGTGATTCCTCTGAGATCCTGGCTGCGAGGCGGAGCGGTGGGGCCCACTTGTTAGGACTGAGTGTTGAAGAAGAACGAGAAAGGAAGAGGGTCAGGTGCTCAGTGCGTCCTGAGTAGCTTTGTGGGTTCTTTCTCTCCGTTGACTATCCTGCCGGCTGGAGCAAATGATAGAGCCTTGTTAATTGGTTGGAACATAGCGAGTGAAGGCAGAAGTCAGTGTGTACCGAGCAAAGTGTACAAAGGAGAGCTGCAGATGGATAGTGAGGCGCTCAGTGCTGTCCTAGCTCCACACCTGCAGGGTGCGTGCCTTCTTTTCTTTTCCTGGGTGGAAAAGCCGAGCGCGCTTTCCTTTCACACGCCGAAACCCCAGAGGACTGTACCCACAGGGAGTCCCCCATGGCAGGGCTGTCCCGGAGCGGCTGACCCAGGCCAGGGAAGCCTGTTACCCGGATTCTAAACAGGCAAGTCACACCAGAGTTCACCGAGGCCCAGTTTGTTCCTGTGATTTTCAAGCCTTAGATGCCCTGAATGAAAAGTGGGTAGACTGGTGAGTTGCATCCTCATTAAGAACGCTCTCCTTCCCCAGCATCCCTAAAGGGTTCGAAGCCAAAAGCCGGAGCAGCAAAAATGACCCGAAGGGGCGAGGCAGCCCGAAGGAGAAGACTCTGGACTGTGGGCAGATTGTCTGGGGCCTGGCCTTCAGCCCGTGGCCTTGTCCACCCAGCAGGAAGCTCTGGGCGCGCCACCACCCCCCGGGGCCAGACGCCTCCTGCCTGATCCTCGCCACGGGACTCAACGACGGGCAGATCAAGATTTGGGAGGTGCAGACAGGTAGGTGGTTTCTGGCTGGCACAAGGTCGGGGAGGCTCGTGTGCATGTCCTCACGGGGGGCTCCAAGGGCCCAGCCCCCCAGCTGGCGGAGGTGCGGCTGTGCGGGCAGGCCAGTGCCGTCTCCCACTGACCGAGTGCTCCCGCCGCCCCGCCAGGGCTCCTGCTTTTGAATCTTTCCGGCCACCAAGACGTTGTGAGAGATCTGAGCTTCACGCCCAGTGGCAGCTTGATTCTGGTCTCTGCGTCTCGGGACAAGACTCTGCGCATCTGGGACCTGAATAAACATGGTATGGAGGTGACGGAACTCCCAGGGAACTCCCACAATACTGTGTGTGCCCTTCCCAATGGACCTGTGTCACTGTTACCCAGAATAGCGTTTCTCCATCTTTTTTCTATTATTGTTTCTTAGGAGCCTTTTCAGGCACTTCTTTCCTGATCACTCCCCCCTCATCCCTTGAAGATTTAAATTCTGTATATCTGTCTATTGATTGAGTACGTATTTATACACTGTAAGGAGGAAAACAGATTTTAAAAACCAATAGAACCAGTTTTTGCCATTATTGCTATCGCCTTTATTGAAAATCCCGTGATGGCCGGGACCGGTTTGGCTCAATGGATAGAGCGTCGGCTTGGGGACTGAAGGGACCCGGGTTCGATTCCGGTCAAGGGCATGTACCTTGGTTGCAGGCATATCCCTGGTAGGGGGTGTGCAAGAGGCAGCTAATCGATGACTCTCATTGATGTTTCAAACTCTCTATCTCTCTCCCTTCCACTCTGTACAAAAATCAATAAAAGATATTAAAATAAATAAATAAATAAATTAATTGATTAAAAAAAAAAAAAAAAAAATCCCGTGATGGAGAACGCCTTTCTCGCCATGGCATCGCTGACATTTTGGGCTGCAAACGTCTTTGTTATGGGCTGTGCATCCTACACAGTCGTGGCGAACAAACTGTGCCCAGACATTGCCCGTTCCCCGTGGAGGGCACAGTCTCCCCATTTGAGAACCGCTGATCTAGAGGAAGCCATCCTCCGTGGGCACTTTCTGTTAGAAATAAAGTTTCTTGTGAAGTGGAATCGAGGTCTAGCAGAATCCTCTCAGGCTAGTTCTGCCTTGAACAGAACTAGATAGAGGAGCAGCCCAACAAAGAGTCCCGCCGTCTCTGGAAAGTGACTGAGGGAAGGAATTTTCCGCTGCCCACCCAGGTCACTTCTGCCCACCGGGGTGGGCAGCGGAGGCTGGAGGGAGGTGGAGATAGGAAGTGGTCATGCAGGCAGTTCCTGAAGAGACACACTCACCCTGATCATGCAAAGCCACGGCTGTTCCCCAGACCGTGGGAGGGCCCTGTCTGCTTCCCTCTTAGAAAGGAGCCCAGTCATCTCTCCAGACAGCGGAGGAGGTGCTTGTCCTTTCCTCACCTGAGGCCCCTGGTCACTAAGCTCTGTACGGTTCCTTCCCGTTCCCGTGGGACCCAGTCACACAATCCAAGCCGGCCTGCTGACCGGGAGGGTCATTCAGAGGCAGTGCCATTGCTGTTATGTGTGCAGAGGCAGCTTGCCACCATTGAAGGAAGGTTCTTGAAGGGGCTTTGAAAGTCACGTGGTGGTTGGGAAGCTGCAGGTGACACAGTGGACAGAATGGACCAGAACCGTTATTAGGGCTTTTCAAAGAGGAGGGGAAATGCAGGTTCCCAGGTATTGGGCCCTGCCCTACATGACGTGCCTTCATTTATTCAACACTCCCAACCTCCGGGCAGGTGTGCTGTTCCTGTTTGATAGCTGAGAAACCATGACTGACTTTGAAAAATATATATTTATCCACATCCATAAATTTATAAATGACCATATATACTTTTTTTTTCTGTGTGTGTGTGTGTGTGTGTGTTTAAATTTCTTTATTGATTATGGTGTTACATTTGTGTCCTTATTCCCCCATTACCCCCACAACCCTTCCCCCCTCATGCCCTCACCCCCCTGCTATCTGTGTCCATTGGTTAGGCTCATATGCACGCATACAAGTCCTTTGGTTGATCTCTCCCCCTTACCCCCACCCTCTCCTACCTTCCCTCTAAAATGTAATGTCTAATCGATATGTTTCTCTGTCAACCATATATATTCTTAAAATTACACACACACACACACATTTTTTTTTTCCTGCTCTGGCTGGGGTTTTCAGTGGTTAGAGTGTTGGCCTGAATACTGGCAGGTCTTAGGTTTGATTCCTGGTCAAGGACACATACTTGGGTTGTGGGTTTGCTCCCTGCCCCTGATTAGGAGTCGGGACACATGGGAGGAAACCAGTCCATGTGACTCTCTCAACATCAATGTTTCTCTCTTCCCCCCTATCCTCTTTCCCTTCCACTCTCTCTGAAAAGCAATGGAAAAAATATCCTCAGGTGAGGATTAACAACAACAAAAAAAAATTGTTTAAGTTTTTTTTTTTATTTTAGCTTGATTCCTGCCCATGCCAGCCTTGCCATCTTTCTAATTGTCCTATCTGTTGAATTCCTCCATAATCCCCCTGTAATCTTGTGTAACCCATGCTAAGAGTCTTCCATATTTCTTTCCATGTTTTGCTTACACTTGTATGATCCTATTCGGACAATCACACTCTTACATTTATGGGTTTTGGAATCATTATGTTTCACAAGAATGAAATCGTAGTCTTCACATTTTTTTCTGAATCTTGTTTTTTCATTAAAGATACTTCATGGGAAATCTAGATTCTTAATTTAATAGGAATTAATAAGGTGGATCTACCTGTTACACTCCTTTTTTAAAAATTTTTATTAATATATTTTATTTATTTTTTACAGAGAGAAAGAGAGAGGGATAGTAGAGAGTTAGAAACATTGATGAGAGAGAAATGTTGATCAGCTGCCTCCTGCACACGCCCTACTGGGGATGTGCCGGCAATCAAGGTGCATGCCCTTGACCGGAATTGAACCTGTGACCCTTGAGTTCGAATGCCTACGCTCTATCCACTGAGCCAAACCGGTTTGGGCTCCTGTTACACTCTTTATTCAGTCATTTCCCTATGGATGAACATTTTGTTTTGTTTTTTCAAAAACTGAAACCTGGAGAGATTACGTGAGAAGTTCAGGATTGTGTGCTAAGTGCACAGTGGAGCCAGGTGCAAGCCCACTTTTGTCTCACTCCAGAGCAGGGGGGAGGGTGCTCCTTCAGGGAAGGGGGAGGATGTGGAGTGGGAACCTTGTGAGGAGGGGAAACCATCACAGAGAGAAGTGAAGATGCACTCAGATTTGGAAGGATGCTTCCAAGTATAATAGAGGTGGTGGGGGACTGGAAAAGAATGTGCTTCGCTATCAAAGGGATCTATCGGACCTGATCTATCTACACCGTTTATCCTGATGATCCCGTGGAGTTTGGTGTAACAGGGGAAGTGATTTCCTTTGGGTGTTAGAATATTATATGAATAGATTTCATATTTAAATGACAGGTTTTGTCATACTTCTTTCTCTGCATTAAAAAGTGGGCGGTGGCACTCAGTTGATAGCGGGGTGGGTGGCCCATCACGCCCTTCCTCAGTCTTCCTGCTCGTGGTGTGAGAAGCTCACTGTCTGCCCTCTGTCCGCCAGGTAAGCAGATTCAGGTGTTGTCGGGCCATCTGCAGTGGGTGTACTGCTGCTCCATCTCCCCGGACTGCAGCATGCTCTGCTCTGCGGCTGGAGAAAAGTCGGTAAGTCTCACACATCGGGTGCCATTTCCTCTGTTGTGTTAGTTCAGCAGGACCTGGGGGTGTGTAGCCACCTTGTGTGTGAGACGGCGTCTCAAACCCTGCCTCCTGCATACCGCCCTTTCCATTTGCACTTCGACATGAGCCAGAAGAGGAGGTAAGTTTATGTAGATCGCCACCTTCATTGGAGGCCTGTTTGTCCTTACAAATGGAAAGGGGGTGCTTTTTAAGTTTCTTTTCCCCTCAGAGAGTCTATGATTTTAAAAGTTGCAACCCATGTATGGGCCCAGATTTCCTTTGAACCATGTAGTTTATAGCGACCTAATTAGGATTTTCACTCCAGATTATAAAATGTACAGCTACTTACTGAACTTCGCCCTGCCATCCTGCCTGTTATTTTAAAGAAGCATTAGAAACTCAGGAAAACTTTGGGACAGTTTTGCATGGAGCGGTTTGCTGCGGTTGACTCGGGGAAGTTAAGAATTCACTATTTGGTGCGGCCCAGGTGGTTAATCATTCATTCGAGGTCTGGAACTATGTGAAAGTGCGAGTTTTCTTAAAGGAAGGAAAATAAAACCCTATTTATAATGACAGTCGGGAAGGTGTAAAGTGATGAGCTGTGTCGGATGTGCAGTGGTGGGGGCCGGTTTCCAGGGTCCTGTGAGCACAGAGGGTGTGAAACGGTGCGGCAGCTGCACGTGTGGGCAGGCCTGGAGTTCACTCTGGCCCCGCTTTGGCAGTAAACGCAAGGACAGCTGGCATGGGGCTGAGGTCTCCCTCCACACGGGCTGCGTGTTTGCAGACAGCGCTCAGGAGCGGAACTGGGACGCTTCTCCTGACCCGTTGCTGGCAGTCTCCCTGAGGTGGCCCGGTTTGCTCTCCTTAAGGCTCACTCCTCCAGCATGTCCGTTGGCTAGGCACAGTGAGAAGCGGAGCTATCACTTTATGTAAGCCTCTGTGACACATTCTGGAAGAGCTAGAGAAACGGGTGGGGAACGGGTCTTCCTAAGCCATGAGGCCCGACGTGGGCACTGCTCACATTCTCATACTGTGTTTCCGCCCCTAACCAGGCCCCTGTCGCTTTCCACAGGTCTTCCTCTGGAGCATGCGGTCCTACACGTTAATCCGGAAGCTAGAGGGCCACCAAAGCAGTGTTGTCTCTTGTGACTTCTCCCCGGACTCTGCCTTGCTTGTCACGGCTTCTTACGACACCAACGTGATCATGTGGGACCCTTACACTGGCGAGCGGCTGAGGTCACTCCAGTAAGGACCCGGACCCCTGCTTACGGCTTCCTTGTGGGGTGACTGATGAGAAGTTTGCTGGATGAGACAAGTCCCTTTTAGAGTTGGGGCACGGGAGGGGCATCCTGGGTAAAAGACACGGATTCAGTGCTTGTTCTAAGGCTGGTGTACAGTAGTGCTTTCTTGTCAGTTAAGTTCTGAAATTAGACCCAAGTGCCTTCAGCTCTCCTGCTAAGTGAGACTCTACTTTGGATTCAGCATTAAGAAACCTCAAAGTGACTCTCTTTTTTCCATTTACTAATAACTGTAGTAACAAGTTCAGAACGGTCCTTTTATCGAAACTGCTATTTCCATTATGAATTTTCATGTTCTCACAAATTTGGTCTATTTTTCTCCTTTATCTCTGTTGTTTTATGAAGCGAATAATAGGTAGGCCTATAATTATCATGTATCTTAGCCTAAAAAAGACTTTCGGTGTGTCCGTGGCATTCAAGTGAGGGCTGACCTACTTTGCATAAGGAAACTGGCACAGCTTTTCAGCCCCCTCTGCAGCCACTCGGAGCCTTAGTAAATGCACTTTTCTCCAGTCTTCTTTTCTAGTCCGCAAGTCCCAAGGTTTTCCATATGGGGCACAAGATGCGTCCTGAGCCTTTTCATAGCCAGGTAGTTTGGCCTCCTGCTGGGGATGAAGGTGAAGGGTGAGGGGTGGCCATCAGCCCTCACTGTCCCGTTTCTTTCTCCTCAGCCACACCCAGCTCGAGCCCCCCATGGATGACAGTGACGTCCACATCAGCTCCCTGAGGTCTGTGTGCTTCTCGCCAGAGGGCTTGTACCTGGCCACTGTGGCGGATGACAGGTAACAAGGGGCTCTCTCGCGCGTCATTGCAGCGTTTCCCAGGCGTCTGGCCCCGGTTTGCTAACGTGCAAACGTGCTTTTCCTTCTCATCCAGGCTCCTCAGGATCTGGGCCCTGGAACTGAAAACTCCAATTGCATTTGCTCCTATGACCAATGGTCTTTGCTGCACATTCTTTCCACACGGTGGAGTCATTGCCACCGGGTACGTATCTGCCAGCGGTGGGCAGCAGTTTCTGCTGAGTATACCATGCAGCTTTTTACGGAAAGAAAGCATTTAGAATTTTCCTGCCTGCGAGGAAGGCTTTAAGGAAATTCAAGATTACATGAAACTCGAATAACCTATTCTGCCAATATAGGTTATCATTTGTTAATATATACTTAATCTCAGTGTAATTATAGTTACAATTCATGACAACGCATGATGCAGAATTTACATGGAAATCCTTCCCGGCAGAGACCAGCTTTCAGGGACCATCTGTAATTCAGTAGGTGGCGTCCATCCTTCTGTTGAACTCACAGGATGACTGAGCAAGGCTGTGCTGGCAGAGAGAGCACTTGGGTGGCAGAGGTGTCTGGAGTTCTTATAATCCTCGTAGGTGGTAGCAGCCTTAATTATTCAGCAGCACAGCTTTTACATCCATTTCAGAAGCCAGGGTTCCGTTTCACTCTCGGGAGGCTCCTGCTAGTGCAGTCAGAGTAGAAACATTAGCATCCGGCACAGTGGAAACAGGTATTTCCAAACCTGTCTGAATGCATGGCTTCTGTTTTGTTTTAGGACAAGGGACGGCCACGTCCAGTTCTGGACAGCTCCTCGGGTCCTGTCGTCACTGAAGCACTTATGCCGGAAAGCCCTCCGGAGTTTCCTCACCACCTACCAAGTGCTGGCACTGCCAATCCCCAAGAAAATGAAAGAGTTCCTCACATACAGGACTTTGTAAGCAACGCCACAAACACGCCTAGTCTCGCGTGTTCTCTCTGTGGCAGATACAGCTCCCTGGCGGAGGAGCAGCTGGGATTATGGGCCAAACGCCTGGTCTTGGATGGACAGTTTCTCTTGGGGATTGTGAACAGAATGTAGCAAAACCAGATTCCAGTGGCTCTTCTCCCCATGACAAGTGACCGCCGGTCATAGAGGAGGGACTCCACTGCCGTGGCCAGAGCCTTCTCTGAAGTCTCCAGCCCGCTGAGAAACAACAGTCTAGAATTCTCTCTGGTAGTTTGATTCAAAGTGCAGATAATGGCGTTTTGGTAACAAGAGTTCTAGGCCTCGCGAGCCGCTGTAGTGGCCGAGGGGTTTCAGCCCCTGTGCTGGGAGGTGTGGCTCCTGCCTCGCCAGGCTGCTTCAGCTTCTCTCCGCGTGTGTCAGAGTCGATGTTGGCGAGTCTCTCCTTCCTCTAGCTTCTCTCTGAGCAGCGGGCAAAGTTTTCATGGAGCAGGCTCTGGTGTGAGGTATTAACCAAATTACAGGTGACTCAGGCTATGCTCCTGACTAACACACTAGAATTGGCTTTTTCGTTTTTTAAACAATGGTGTGCATGTGCAGACGACAAACTTATATGCCTGGTTACATGGGATTTACTCCTAAACTGCATGACTGTTATGATGGCTGAGCTGTTGGTTGTTTGCCTTTCATTAGCATATTTATTTGTATTTTCTGAACAGATGTTAAGGTACAATTGTGTTTTTCTTGATATCTAAAAACCATAGTACTGAAGTCGAACAGTTGTGAAGATGTCTCCTTAATTGTGTGAAGCACTGGTGATGTCATCACTTCAGCCGCATCCTTATGTACGAGGTCTAACTGCTGCTTCTCTTTATTGGACTTGTGAGCCAGTTTCAGCTCTACCCCTCCACACACACAGCTCCTTAAGGTCTATCCTCCTCCAGCGATGTAGCTATCTAGTCAGGACACCTCCTTCAAACATAATCTGCCTTTGGAAAATTTAATATATTTTAAATAATTTTGAAAGAAATGCAACATTTTATCCTTTGGCTTTCTTACAAAGTGCGTTATGGAGGCCAGGGTAATATGAAATGTGTCGAAAAAGGAGATAAATCTCTCCTCTACCACCTTGGTTGCTGAAGAAAACATTTCAAGATGAGAGACTCATGGAAGGAAAGAGTTAAAAGCTTTGGCTGTCTGTTTCATTTCTTCCATTAGGGAAAAAAGTCCCCTTTAAGACAAGTGAGTGCAACAGGACTGCTGGGAATGGCCTGGGCAAGTTTTTAATTTTGAGGTTATCTTGCAAAATTGCGAATAGTGTGGTCTGGGAGGCTCAGTGGCTTCCTTGAGGCCCCATGTAGCCATTCGCTTCCAACACTGCTGGCATCCTCGGGGAGCGAGTCCCACGGAGTGATGGGAAAACCGACTCCTCCCTTTTAAAGAACAGCCTCCGAAGCTGTGGTATCAGGTGAAAGTTCACACAGATACAAGTTGAATAAGTCAGTGTCTTTGTAACTAAGGAAAGAAGTCACTGTAACACAACCAACAAGTAAGCTGCTTTATTTTAATCTGACGAGTGATGAGTGCAGCACTGACTGCTGTAGTGAGCGGCCACCCGTGCACCCAGGCCTGTCCTTCCCCCGGTGGCAGGGGTAGTCAGGCTCAATCTTGTGGTCCCTCCTCTTCCCCCGCCCCCTGCAGTAAGTACGCGAGTATTATACAACTTCTGGCCCCTGATGGCATAAAAATGAAAAGTTTTCTCTCCTGTCCACCCACAATTAGGAACCTGCTAGTAAGTCCTCTGCTTCAAGAGGAGAAATAAAAAGACCAGTTTTGAAAGGAAAAGAATCGAGTCCATTTTATGAGTGTAACAGAAATCTGTTCACATCTGCTCATGAAGTAGAGACAGTGTCACAGACTGTACGTGATTTTGGAGATGTTCTGTTTTTATCTTGAGTTGAAAGACACATGGGCCATGTTGGATCTGAAAGCCTTATAGTCCAAAGTGACCGGGAGTAGGCTAGCTTCCTGTCACGCAAGCAGCTAGAGGGGAAAGCCTTACAGTTGTCTTGGGTGACTGCCTTCATCCCCTGACGCAGGCAGCAGTTCCTCCTGTAACCAAGGCCCCTGTTCTCTAGTTGCTGCTGGGCCTGAGACCAGCACACGGTCCTCAGCGCCTAGGCCTCGGAGACAATCAGGTCTCTGGTGACCTGAAAAGCCGCAATGAGGGAGCTCAGCTGGATCTTCTCGTTGGTGCCCACAGACAGTCTGTACCTAAAGGAAACCAAAAGGTGAGCGCAGAGAATACCACAGAGCAGCCCTCTGACAAGAAAAAAGATCGAAGACAGAGCATCTGAAGGTGGAGAGGAGGCAATGAGGATTCATCCTGGACGGCAGCCCTGGATGTGACCTCAACACCATCATTTTCCCTCACCAATTGGAAGGAAAAATTAAATCTAAAAAATGGTAAGCAGTGTTCTGAACCTCACTTTGTTCTAGCTCTCTAAAGATATGCAGAGTTCATGTGGTTAAGGGTTATTTCTTCACCTACAAAATGCACTGAGGAGTTATAATGAAGATTTCCTTCCTCTTAATTCACTGGGTAGTGTGGCTGACACGCCTTTGGTTCTGGGGTGTGGTCAGCAAGCAGGACACTGCTATTTCACCTTGCCACCTTTTATCTTTTTAAATATATACATACTGATTTCAGAGAGGAAAGGAGAGATAGAAACATCAATGATGAGAGAGAATCGTTGATTGGCTGCCTCCTGCACGTCCCCTACTGGGGGTGATTGAGCCCACAACCCAGACATGTGCCCTTGGCTGGAATTGAACCTGGGACCCTTTAGTCTGCAGGCCAATACTCTATCCACTGAGCCAAACCGGCGAGGTCTCATCCTGTCACCTTTTAAGTGATTAAGCCATTGAAAGCAAGATCATATTCACAAGTACTGATAAGTCACCTAATTTGTGCATTCACAAGCCAATGAGGGCAGATGAGAGTTGGCCTACGCTAACAGTCTGATGGTGAAACCAACGCTTTTGTCTATTTAAATGACAGCGGCCAGCTTCACTGGGGGCTAATAACTGCTCACTGGACAAGGCAAAGTGGAAAATGGAATTTGCTTACTCCCTGCCAGGATGCTGTGTACGCAGAAGGCTTCACAGCTGGAGGTCTGCATGGAGCAGGCTCCCAAATAACAAAAGCATTAGCAGAGCCAATGCAGACCAGCCTCTGAGGTCTTTATCTCAAGTATGTGACTGAGTCATACCTGTCCTTGTGTGTACTCATGTTCTGAGAATGAGCATCTCACATTCTTCCCCATCTTTCATTCAATAATCCCACCAAAAACTGGGTCATACTTGTACAGGAATGATTTAGACAAAACATTTGGAACCAAGCTAATAGAAACAAATCACAACAGGGGAAAAAGTAGGAAGAGAATTAAAATTGGGAAGTAAATACTCACTCAATGTCTGCCATTTTGGTCAATAAGTGTATTCGAACTGAAGATGGAAAGTCAACTGGGGGAAAAAACACAATCTAATGAATGAGCCTGTCATTCCGTAGAAGACAAGTGCTTGTTTAAAGATCAGGTGGATAACACCTTCCTTTCTGCCTCACCTCACAAGTTTTCATCCCCTCCATTTCTTCACCCTTAGCCCCTACCTGCCCCACCCCGCCGGATTCCAGAGTGATCAGGACAGGGAGGAGTAACTAACATGGCTCTTTTAGCAAATGGGTGGATCTATAAGTTAAGGTAAAAGCTGGTCTCACTTCCTCTCCCAATTTTAAAAACAAACTATTGATTTTTTTAAAGTCAATTTATGCTCAGTTTTCAAAGTGCAAAGCTGGGCTTGAGCCAACCACGTTCTTGGGCAGAAGCTAACATGCCAGCCAGCCAGAAAGGCCTGTAAAGGCACCGGAGAAGCAACACTCATGGATGCAGCCGGCAGTGCAGCTGGCTGTTGTAGAGGAAAAAGCTCATCCAAAAGGCTGCCCAGCCCATCACCTGGTTCTCCCCAGAGGCCAACTGCTTGGCTTGGGGCGATTCCGTGCGGAGAACCAAGTCTGTATAGAAGCTACAACCTCGTGTGGAACTTAAGATTGTTTAATTAAGACTGTTTTGGTTTATGTGAAAATAGATCTTCCTTCTCCCTCTCCTTTTGGGAAAAATGTTTCTTTTGAAATGTGAATTAAAACATACTCTTTGCTGCTGCACAACACAAACCCCGGGAGGAAATTAAGTTTTAGCCGTCAGGAGTGTCCACTCTCCCCAGCAGCTCTAGCGGTTCAGAGTGTTTTCAGAATGAAATTCTAAGCAACAAGACAAAACTAAAGATGAGGGGTTCAGTTTATAATTCATTCCTGTTTCTGCTTCCTTCTCTAATCACCCTTAACCACAGAGCACGCTCCTTCTGACGGCTTCCAACTGGAGAATGTGAGTTACCTCTGTGCACAAACAAGTGTATCTCCGTCAGGATGTCATGTAACGCCAGCCCCTTCAGAGTCTTCAGCTCCATGATATCTAGAGAGGAGCAGTTAAGGCAAAGGGGAAAGTTCCAGAACAAATGTGCTGCGGATAATTTTGAATCCACACCCTCGTGAGCGACTTTAGAAAGTAGAGTTAATCTCAGTAGTTTCGATGTGAAACTGCACATGAACCCCAATTCTTTTCTCATTTCCCTCTTCAATAAGGCTTTCTCAAAGACGCAGTGGTGGCAGCTGTCTAGGAGAGAACAGAACCAAATGCTCTCCCCCGGTGGCTTCATGTCACTGCACCCAGCTTTTCCTTTCACAGCAAGACAAGATGAACCGACCCCTTGAAAAGGACTGCAGTTCCCACCATGGTCCAGCTGCATCTCCATCTGGGGGTCAGGTGGCTCCCGGGTACCCAGGTCAGAGTCCTTCAGGAAGAACTCGGGGCATTAGACACGTATCCACTCCACCCACGCCGTCTCACTCCTACATCTTACAAGCTGAGCAGTCTCCCACATGGCTAACTGTCTTGCCAGAGGGGGGAGGTGCTGGCTGTAGCTCCTGGGGTCAAAGTTCAGGCCTTGGGAACTGAAAGCTGTTGGCAGGACGTGAGAAAGGATACTTCTGTAGGCCGTGGTGAAGTCCTGATTCAACATCCAGTCCAGGATGTTGGCGATGTCTGACTTGAGCGGGTGCCCTGTGCAGGTGTAGACAGTCTCCTCGGTCACCTTCCCAAAGGCCATGCTGGTGCTCTGCGCAGACAGGGAGGGGAGGGGAGAGGAAGTGAGAGGATCAGGGCGAGGATCGGGGTGGCTGCCACAGCCGCCGCCATGTTGCAGGGAGGTGGGGAGGAAACAGCTGAGGCAGCATGCAGGTGGGCAGCAGTACCACACGGCACAGGAGCTGGAATCCTGCTCACCCCAGTAAAGGCGGCCCAGGGAGGGTGCTGCAGCTGCAGAATCCTAACCCATCTTTCCCTCGTTTGCAACAAATTACTCTTCCAATTAATCAAAACACATTAGGAGGTCAAGGTCTTCCCAGCTCTAGATTTCTGAATTTACAGATTGGCTTGTACTATTGCTTATGTATTTCTTGAAAAAAGATTCCGAAGCCACAACTTGAGATTTGCTACGAGGAGCACCGTACCTGCAAAATGTTCAGAGCCCGCCGCATATCTCCGCTGGAGAGAGTTATAAGCGCTTTCATTCCATCTTCACTTACATCCACTCTGAAAGGAAACAGGCAGAGCTGAGGCCCCCGAGAGCCCAGGCCTTCCCCAAGGAACGAGATAGCCTGGAACGATTGAGATTTGGAAACAACGAAAGAAGAAAAGGGGAGGACGGAGTTCGCTACCCTCCTGATCTGTAGGATCTAGAATTCACTCTGGTATTTCGGGGCGACGGCTTCACGTCAGTAGTCACGGCCCACTCCCAGTCCAGAGTGACCCTAACGGAGGGCCAGGCTCCGCTGTGTAAATAGCTGGCTGTGACCGTGCTTCCGGGGGAGGGAAGAGCACGGAGAGGTGTGATCGCAGAGTCAAAGCACCTTTCACATAAGCAGCACTCAGCTTGGTTTCTCGCTCGGCATCTGATTACACAGAATGAATTATCCCAGGACCTTCCCTTCCAGTCAGACAAGGCGAAGGCATCTTGGCAGAAGCGACTTGGCAGCGTGCGGTTTCCAATGACAAAGGAGGAGGAGGAAACTGGGACCGCTTCCAGGGAGGAGGATGGAGTCGGGAGAAGAACCAAATGACTTTCATGAACAATGTCCCGGACATGCTGCCAACAGACCCAGACTCGGCGAAGCCGTTACAAACACCACCTTACCCCACACTCCGTTCCCGAGACCCCCTCCTTTCCTGATCCACCATATACTTACTTCTCCTCTTCTATGACGTGCTCCAGGCGTGGGACCATGAGCTCAGGGGTCAGGGGACCGAATCGGAACCTTGTACACCGCGACTGCAGAGCGGGGATGATCTTGGACAGATAGTTACAGATGAGGCAAAATCTGGTGTTTTCAGTAAACTTCTCGATCACTGGCAAAGGAAGAGAACCCAGAAATACGGAATGTCTCAGGAATGGTGCAGCAAACAGGAATGGGACAAGAATTCAAGAATGCAAACAAAGGAGGATGCTGCAGGAACAAGAGGGTGTCACGGATGGTCAGGACTGAAAATCACCCACTCTCTTTCCAAAATCTGACCGACACGTCACCCCACAGGCTTTACAAAACGCTTCTTTTTTTTTTTTAAGATGCACCATGATTCCTGTGCTCTCACCATCCCATCCCATTAAGACAGGAAAGCCGGTGTTCCTGCCCTTGGAATACAACTCCATTTGGCAGGCCGATGCTCCACCTTCTACTAGGCGGGGAGGTGGTGGCTTTTTGCACTTTCCGGTGGACCGGGTCTCAAAGCCTGAGAGCACTGACGAGAGAAGAACCCGAATTCTGAGATGCTTATGGCACCAGCTTCTCTGGGGAGGTACCCAATGCTGCTGCACAGGGATCTGCCCAGACGGACAGTCACTCTGCAGAACTAGATGCCAGAGAGAACTAGATGCCAATGCTCCGGGACCAGATCACCTGCCTTTCTCTCCCTCCCCAGCCTCTCCTCCCCGCCGAACGCCTAACGGTCAGCCTTTCCTCTGAGCTGAGCACCTCTGGATCTCAGTGAGAGGACCAGTGTCCTTTCACAGAAACGAGCTGCCCTAGGCCCCTTCAGACAGACAACCCACAGGACACTCTCCCTTCTCTGCCAATTCATTTATTGGCAAGGAGCAAAGTAATGTCAGCTTTCTGAGTGATGAAATTTCTGGAATTTTCCTGGCTATTTTGTATCTAAGGGTACCAACAACAGAATGCCCATCCAGCAATTTAGGGATGAAAGACTTTCCATCAAATGATACAAAATCCCCAATCCTTAAATTGAAGCCAGCTGAAAAGGAGCATGAGACCCCACGAATCCCAACAGGGCCTGTGTCTTAAAGCTGTGGAAAGGGGAAACCTCCGACATGGAGAGATTTGGCTAGATTAGGGGTGTCGAACTCAATCAGAGAAGGGGCCAAAATCTAAAATCCAGCCTAAATCGCGGGCCGAATGGTTTACTGAACAGTCATAAACTGTCATTGTGATGGAAACGCAGCGGAGTGCAGTGATGACAGCGTGGTGCGGGCCACATTGCAAGGCCTGGCGGGACGGATTTGGCCCGCGGGCCTTGTGTTTGACACATGTGGGCTAGATCGTCAGGTGGGACACATGGAGAAAGGTATGCAGAGATTTCTCTGGGCCAGAAAGGAAGGAAAATGGCAAAGACCCACGCCATATCTTATGCCCGAGGCTCCCAATTCTCCGGATGTGCTCAGCAGCCAACACGCCGGACTTGGCCCCTCTCACCTCTCCGCAGGGCGTTCTGGGCGTCCTGAGTCATAGCATCCGCCTCATCCAGGATCACCAGCTTGAAGCCTTTCCTGGGAAGACAAATGGCACCAGGTAGAGACTGCACTCTCCCTTCCGCTTCAGTCACTGTGTGCCATCAGGCCGAGTTTCCGGCCATTTCTCCCAGAACGCTCCCTCCCGCAGCCGACACCGAGGTCCCAGAGGAAACGCCCCATCGCTCCCTCAGCTCTTAAAGGAACTGAGGCCCATCGTCTGTGTGTGTTACCACTTCCGGCACCTTCACCTTTCTTTCGCACAGTATCCCATCACTCTAGTGCTTCCCCTGCCTCCTTCACTCATGCCTGTCTTTTTATCTTTTTCATTTTAGCCATCATCCTGATCTCAGATCATTTTTGTCTAAATTCAAACTAGCTCATGCAGGCTAAAAGTGGAATAGAATAGGTCCTCAGTTAACTAATAAAATGAACTTAATGCTTCCCCCAAGAACTTGCTAATACAGACTTAGATAACATTTTATTTCAATATTTGCATTTTAACTTTTTTTCTTTTCTTTTTTTTTTTTTTTTTTTTTTTTACCACCACCCCTGTACTTTATCTCCTTTTCATGGCTATTTTTGACAGTCATTTCCCCCTACTTCTATAAACTGGCAAGAGGAAGCTAAAAAAAAAAAAAAAAAAAAATCAGCTGTATAATCTCACTGATCAAAATCTCGGGGGAGAGAAATTATGCAAATATTTCTTACTTAAATATTGTCCTTGTGCTAGCAAAGCTCAGGATTGGTCCCCGAACGATGTCTATTCCTCTGTCGTCTGAAGCATTCAGCTAAGTGTGGAAGAGAGAAGCCAGAATAAATAAAAAAACATTTATTTGGTGGATGACTTATGAATTAAGGTACCTTTTCATCAATCTAGCTCAGCAAGCTAGGTCTCCAAGTATAATGACAGCTAAGAGATAATCACTATTCAAAAAACAAGGTCCCGTTTGTATTAAAACTCCTAAGCTCACTAGATTAATCTTTCAGTCTGAAAGGCAAAAGACTGACTTTCCTCTCCCCTCTGAGGACAATCCGTGGCAAACTCTGGAGGAATAGCTAAGTGGCCTGGTCTCAGTGACCTCTGACCCGAGCAGGATGGTGCTAACGTTAGCTACCACAACCTGGAGCAACCCAGAAGTTACCAAGTGTCTTAACACACTGAGGTGAGAACAGGTGTGGCCGCGAGGTCCTAAGATCTCGAACAAAAAAAACTAAATGTTTTTCTGGCAATCAACAATGCTTAGAATGTTGTAATCTAAGTGTATTAGTCAAGTCCAGCAGTGAAGAGGTGGCTTCCTCAAGTTCAGTGCTTTGAAGAGAATCACATGAAGACATGTTGTAAGAGGTATTATTGGTGGGTGTGGGGAAACCTCAGGGCTACGCAGCAGGCCAGGGACTGCTGGGGCCCATTCCCCCCCAAGTCTTAGGGGGTTGGTGAGGTCATGGTGATGCCACCTAAGAAGGCAGTGCGATGTGCCCCGTAGAGGGGGATGCTGTCGGCCCATGGTGGCTCCCAGGCATGTTCTCCTCCCCTCCCCCACTTCTGCCAGGACCCCTATTGGCCAGGCCTAATCAGGAGCCAGAGGGTAAGGGAGCTTGTAGCCCGTACAGTTCAGCTGTCCGGACAAGAACCCATTGCAGCAATGTGGAGGGGCACATGGAGGGGCACACGGAGGCAGCCAGCAACTGAGTGACCACGGAGTGTGTGGTACAAGCTGGCAATAACAAGGAAGGAACCGAGCCCCACAACTGCCTTCTCACTAATGCCAATCCAGACCAAAATGTCAATTATAGAAAAAAGTGAGTTGACCTATCCTATGCCTGCTGCTTTCCCAACCAGCAGGACAACTTCCTTGTGAACTAAAACAGAAGCAGCAGAACCGAGAGAGACTGGAGTCCTTTTTTCAACTAAGAACAACCCCGTTTACCTCCAAGACCATGGAGCCAAACTCTTTATCTCTGTACAGCTGTTTGGCACAGGCCAGGATGGTGGACGTCTTTCCGGTCCCCGGAGGACCGTAGAGAAGCAGGTGTGGCAGTCTGTCTTCACTGATAAACTTCTGAACTGAGGGTTGGGGAGAAAGAGACTCCATCAGTTTCTGAGAGCCGCACTCACTGTGGGCCCTCGAGGTGGGTGGAAGGTGCTGCCACCTCATGTTTAAAGCAGAGGCAGAGGCGGGAATAAAAGACCCGAAGGACCCCATGCTTAAAGCGACCTCCCATAAAGCTCAGCGAGTCTCTTCCTCCCACAAAGCTCAGCGAGCCTCTTCCAAGTGTTTGCTCGGCAGAGACAACACCACCAAGAAACTAGGATGACGTGGATGCTTACTGGTACTCAAAATGTCCTGATGAGAAATGAGATCGCCCAGTGTCTGTGGCCGGTATTTTTCAACCCTGAAATACAATTTAGCATGGATTACTTCACACATAAATGCAAGAACAGGTTGTTATGTGCAAAAGAATCCTTTCGAATCCTTTCGTATCCTAACTAAAAAAGGAAGAGAAACAAAATCCTCTATGTTTGAATACAGACCGGTGGTTCTCAACCAGGGCGCGTCTGGCCATACCTGAAGACATTTTCATTGTCACAGCTGGGTGGAGGTTGCTACTGGCATCTAGTGGGTGGGCCCCAGGAATGCTGCTAAAGATCCTCTAATGTAGGGGTGTCGAACTCAATCAGAGAAGGGGCCAAAATCTAAAATCCAGCCTAAATCGCGGGCCGAATGGTTTACTGAACAGTCATAAACTGTCATTGTGATGGAAACGCAGCGGAGTGCAGTGATGACAGCGCGGTGCGGGCCACATTGCAAGGCCTGGCGGGACGGATTTGGCCCGCGGGCCTTGTGTTTGACACATGTGCTCTAATGCATAGGACAATCCTCATCCTCTTCCCCCCAATCAAGAATCTGGCCCAAAATGTCAATAATGCTGAGGTTGATAAACTCTAATTTTCACCTTTCCAGCTGTCTTCCTATAACCTCAGCTTGGATGGGCACCTATGATTTCAAGGCGAACTCAAATATGAACTCACACCCAATATGCAGAAACAGATAATGATGGTATATCCAAACAATGGAATAATATTCACCCATAAAAAGAAATGGTGTTACACACTACATCATGGATGAACCTTGAAAACATGGTAAATTAAGACAAAGGCCCACATATTGACCATATTTATATGAAATATCCAGAAAAGGCAAATTCATCGAGAGAGAAAGCAGATTAGAGTTTGTCAGGGGCTAAGAGAGGGAGAAGTGAGGAGTGACTGACTGCCAATGGGTATGTGGTTTCCATCTTGGGTGATGAAAATTTTTGGAACTAGATAGGGGATGGTTGCACAACATTCTAAATGTACTGAATGGCACTGAATTCAGCCATAAACGGTAAGTGACATGTTTTTACAACGATAAAAACGAATTGAAGTTATTATTAGACAAGAACAACATGGAATTTGCTGCAATTGAGCCAAATCCCTGTGGTCTTTAACACATCATCAGGCCATAGTTGTGAATACAAGTCTGAATTCAGAACACTTGGGTTCAAATCCAAACCCATTTTCTAGTTCTGGATCTAATGCAAACCATTTAACCTTTTGGCTGTATTACTCCAACTGTAACACTGGAATAAGGAATACCTACCTCCTAGGATCTTTGTAAAGATCAACCGTCTAATCGGGTTCCTGCTGACCTGACAGAAGGCCACCTAAATAAGAGTTACCTAGAGGGTGTGATGATTATTTTAGTGTAGAATTTGACCAGTCATCGCGTCGAACATTTTGGCACTGTGGCCGATGCCATGTCAAGACGCGGGATCAAATCCCCGTGCTGTCATCCAGGTGCGAAAGCCCTGGAAAAGCCCTAAGAACAGAGGGAGACTGGGGAGCTGGGGGAGGTCGAGACGAAGGTCCGGGACGCAGGGATGAAGTCCCGTGGGGCCCCGGCCCCATGCCTACCCGCCCACCGCCTCTCCTTTCCCCCGGCAGCCAGGCCTCTCCTACCAGGGCAGGTTCCGGATCTTGGACGCCGCAGGCTGCGGCTGCGCTGAGGTCTCCATGGCGGGGCGATGAAGGCGTCCAACCCGCTGGAGCCGCGGCGTCCCCGGGGGTCAGCACCGAGCTCAGCCCAGACCTACTCCAGGGACCCTCGCACTTGGAGTTCGCGCTCAAAAGCAGCTCTCGCGAGACTTAGTCGTTGCTTCCGACTTCCTCTCTAGGTCCCGCCCCCTCTCTGTTGCTAAGGCGCCTGTTGCCTAGTGACCGCGAAGCGCGGGCCCTCAGCCTCCCGCGCGCTGCCCTCTCTGCCTCGCCGGGAACCTCCCTGAGCCCGGGGAGAGGGGCGGCGGGGAGAGGCAAGGCCACCCCTGCCACTGCCAGGCGCCATTGCACATCGCAGGCTCCCGGCCAAAGCCGAGGCCAGGCATCGCCGACGTCCGAACGCTGGCCGTTCAAAGGGCCAGAGGGCCGCCGGCGCTGTAAAACCCGGAGGAAAAACATCCCCAGACGATGCGCCAGCTCTAGACTGCAGATGCCATCTGCAAAGAGCCTGGAAAAACAATTGGCCCCAAAGCGGTGAGGTGAGCGCTGCGAACAGAAAAGCAACTCCACACAAACACCCTCAACGTGCCCCCAAACCCATGCCCCTCACCCAGCAAAATGGACACCCTCCCCCCAGACACAGGTCCCAGTGAAAACCACACAAACAAAGGACTCCCAGGTAGTTAACATGTGCAACTGCCAAGGGCAGCTAATGGCACAGAGGACAGGCTCCCTGTGATCTGAAGGTAAGAGGGGAATTGCTATCAAAATTTTAGTTGTTTCCCCCCACCCCCCCTGAAGTGAGAGGATTATGGCCCACTTTTATTTTCTTCTGACTTACTGGTCTGTATTCCCCAGCAATCAGTGTCTTTTACATCTTTAATAAAGGTTTTTCTTTTTTCTTTTATTTTTTTTTTTTACATGTTGAGGAAGACCATCTGGGGTATGAGGCTGGCCTGGGGTCACAGTGTTCTGGCTCAGAAGCAGCTGTCGCAGCTCCGTGCATCTTGCTACATCGCTGTCACTTGCTTGGGGAACAGATAGAGGGACGGTGGGCAAAATACAGGGCTGCAGTTCTGGCTTCACCCTCGCCCTGCCTGGGACTTCAGAAGAAGGGGGCAGACGTGGCTGGTGGTGTGACAGTGGCCCCCACTCTGCTTGCTGCCGGGCCAGCTCTCATAGAATTGCTCAGGTCATTAGCCTTCTACGTCCCCCACTCGGCTTCCTCTCCTCCCACAATGCCAGCCCCACAGCGATTCTGAGGATTACATGAAGTGACATCTAGGGAGCATCCAGGGTGCGGACACCTTCTCTCTGCTCCTAGCCCTCTCTCCAGTCTGCCTGCTATCGTCTTGAATGTCCCCTCTCAAACAAACCCGAAGGTATTGGCTGGTGTGGCTGTGCTGGGAGGGTGAATTTTTGTGTTATTTATGAAATGTGTCTCCGAGGGTGTTTCTGGGAGACACTGGCATTGGCGCTGGCAGACGGAGTAAAGAAGACCTTCCGAACCCACGTGACTGGGCACCATTCTAAGCTGTTGAGGGGCTGCCTCGCACAGAAAGGCAGAGGCGGGTGAATGTGCCCTCTGTTTTGAACTGGGACATCCATCTTCTTCTGTCCTGGGACACCTATGCTCTTAGGAATCAGACTGTTATACCTCCCGCTCCCCCAGGTCTTCAGCTTCCAGAGAGCACAGTGTGGGACTTCCTGGCCTCCATAGTCACTGAGCCAATTTCTATAATATATACATAACCATCTATATAAATATTTAAAATATCTCTTATGTAACTAGGTTATTAATACATAATGCTATATAGAAATAATGTATATTTATTGTAGAATATAGAAATATATTTTTAAATCTGCATAAATATAAGTGACACATGGATATATATGCATAGATATAGATATAGATATAGATATAGATTAGATAGATATAGATATAGATTAGATATAGATATATAATTTTTCTATTGGTTCTATCGCTGTGGAGAACCTTGACCAAGTGCCATAGCCTGGGCTCATTCGGGCACCACGGCAGGAGCCCTCTTGCGAAGGGGCCTGTGTGATTAGAAACTTGATGCCGCCACTTCCTTGAACTGGAAGATGCGAACGAGACTGGATCAAGTTCTCACGAATTTCTGTGTGCGCCTGCTGTTCAGCACGCTGGCTGTGCAGCATTCTTCTGGGTGACATGTGATGTGTTTGCAAGGTATCGTGTGCCTCCACCGTGCATTGCAAGCTCCTTGGGAAGCTGGGCTCTGAGCTTACTCACCACTGTACTTCCGGTGCCAGGAACAGAGCCAGGCTCAAAGGAAGCACTTAATTAATAATTGTTCAGTGAATGAACGAATGAGTGGTGATAGCTCATATTTATTAAGCAGTTACTATAGGCCAGACACAGTTGTTTTTTTTTTTAAATATATTTTATTGATTTTTCACAGAGAGGAAAGGGGAGGGATTGAGAGCTAGAAACATCGATGAGAGAGAAACATCGACCAGCTGCCTCCTGCACAACCCCCACCGGGATGTGCCTGCAACCAAGGTGCATGCCCTTGACCAGAATCAAACCTGGGACCTTTTAGTCCACAGACCGAAGCTCTATCCACTGAGCCAAACTGGTTTCGGCCAGACACAGTTCTAAATGCTGTATGTGTATTATATTCATTTGATGGTTACGATAAGCCCAAACGAATATCAGCCCCGTTTCACAAATGCTAAGTGACTTGCCCACGTTCCGACGAGATGTCAGGGCAGAACCGGATCTCACCAGGCAGCATGGTTCTTTAGCCTGAGCCTTCACCACGACGCTGGTGTGGTCCTGGACCAGCAGCACCACAGCTGTCCCCTGGGGCCCTGTTAGAATGTTATTCTTCTCCCCACCCCACACGCATGCAACCTGACCCTCCGAGGGGGCCCAGCCGGCTGTGTTGTAACAGGCCCCCCAGGGGGTTCTGATGTGATCACATTTGGGAATCACTGCCACGCACTCTGCTGTGTCTCCGCCCTTGAGCTCCCCACCACTCCACTTTCTAAGAAAAGAATGGATACTCAGACGCCTGTTCTGAGAAAAAGAAGGCGTCCCACTGAATGTCATTCACGTGGGTGTGTGGTTTTGTTTGTTTCTGCTTTTGCAATTATTTGAAGGTATAGGCCTTTGGGCAAGTTGTTTAGTATCTCTTTGGACCTCAGTATTGGCACCTATAAAATGGGAGGAGTGGAGGGCTGGACAAGAGAGAGGGGCCACATTAAAAGTAGCTGAGGATTTTAAAAATTCCAATGCCAGATGCCAAAGCTGGTTTGGCTCAGTGTATAGAGCACATGTGTCAAACACAAGGCCCGCGGGCCAAATCCGTCCCGCCAGGCCTTGCAATGTGGCCCGCACCGCGCTGTCATCACTGCACTCCACTGCGTTTCCATCACAATGACAGTTTATGACTGTTCAGTAAACCATTTGGCCCTCGATTTAGGCTGGATTTTAGATTTTGGCCCCTTCTCTGATTGAGTTCAACACCCCTAGATAGAGCGTCAGCCTGCGGACTGAAAGGTCCCAGGTTCGATTCCGGTCAAGGGCATGTACCTTGGTTGCGGGTACATCCCCAGTAGGGGGTGTGCAGGAAGCAGCTGATCGATGATTCTTTCTCATCGATGTTTCTAACTCTCTGTCCCTCTCTCTTCCTCTCTGTAAAAAATCAATAAAATATTTTAAAAAATTTCCAATGCCAGAAATCCAGCCAGATGAATTATACACGTGTGTGTGTGTGTGTGTGTGTGTGTGTAGGACTGAGCATGGGTATTTTATTTTCATTTAAAAAAAGGTTTTAATATAATAATATTACATGTAATAAACATCAATATTTCAAGAAAAAATTTTAAGTATAATAATATTACCAAAACTGTACTAACAGTATATTGATAATATCACAAAAGTTGTAGAAAATATAAAAAATTTGCAAATAACAGGATTACTTCTATTATATTCTAAAATATTTTTTTCCTCTGGCTCTATTTTTGTTCATCAGTTTCTGTTCATTGTATTCCACAAATGAATGAGATCATGTGATATCTATCTTTCTCCGACTGGTTTAGTTCACTTAGCATAATGCTCTCCAGGTCCATCCATGCTGTTATAAATGGTAAGAATGCCTTCTTTTTTATAGCAGCGTAGTATTCCATTGTGTAGAAGTACCACTGTTTTTAATCCACTCATCTGCTGATGGGCACTTAGGCTGTTTCCAAATCTTTGTTATTATAAATTGTGCTCGTATGAACTTAGGGGTGCATATACCCTTTCTGATTGGTGTTTCTGATTTCTTGGGATATATTTGTGTAAGTGGGATTACTGGGTCAAATGGGAGTTCCATTTTCAGTTTTTTGAGGAAACTCCATACTGTTCTCCACAGTGGCTGCACCAGTCTGCATTCCCACCAGCAGTGCACGAGGGTTCCTTTTTCTCCGCATCCTCACCAGCACTTGTTGTTTGTTGATTTGTTGATGATAGCCATTCTGACAGGTGTGAGATGGTACCGCATTGTTGTTTTGATTTGTATCTCTCAGTGACTTTGAGCATGTTTTCATATGTCTCTTGGCCTTCTGTATTATCTCTTTTGAAAAGTGTCTATTTAGTTTCTTGGCCCATTTTTTGATTGGATTATTTATCTTCTTTTTGTTAAGTTGTATGAGTTCCCTACAAATGTTGGGTATTAAACCCTTATGGGAGATAACATTGGCAAATGTGTTCTCCCATGTAGTGAACTTTCTTGTTGTTTTGTTGATGGTTTCTTTTGCTGTGCAGAGGTTTTTATTTTGATGTAATTACATTTGTTTATTTTTTTCCCTTCATTTCCATTGCCCTAGGAGATATATCGGTAAAGATATTTGCTTTGGCATATGTCTGATATGAGTTCTTCTAAGATTATTATGGTTTCCTGTCTTATGTTTAAGTCCTTTATCCATTTTGATTTTATTTTTGTGTATGGTGGAAGTTGGTGGTCTAGTTTCACTTTTTTTTGCATCTATCTGTCCAATTTTCTCAACACCACTTATTGAAGAGACTGTCTTGACTCTATTGTATGCTCTTGCTTCCTTTGTCAAATATTAATTGAGCATAATGGCTTCAGTTGATTTCTGGGTTCTCTGGTTTCATTGGTCTATATCAGTGGTGGGCAAACTCCTTAGTCAACAGAGCCAAATATCAACAGTACAATGATTGAAATTTCTTTTGAGAGCCGAAAATGAACTGCTGTGCATGGGCCACGAAGTTTC